TCCCTTCCCTTCTCTCTGCTGTGACATGTTGAAAAGCTTCTCTCCACTGTTCCTCTCCACCATGCCATTTCCACGTGACCATGGTCTGTAACCGAGAGCCAAAAGAAACCTCTCTTCCTTTCCTCAAACTCATTCAGAGGTTTACTGCCTAAAGTCACATTTTAATGGCATCAAGAGAGTGAGAACTTACAGCCACTGTGGTATTTAGAAGTAGGACCTCTGGGGAGTGGTTATCTTAGGTTGTTAGTCTATGTCATCCGTGATTGAATGATAATGACTTTAAAAGGATGAGGAGACCACACACTGAGACACACACATACACACACACACTCCACCATGATGTGATATAGCTCAGGGCCCCTGGACAGAGCCTGTACTGTACTGTTTAGATCTTAAGCCAAAATCATGAACCAAAACAAATCTGTAACTCTTATAAAGTAACATGTCTCACGTATTTTGGTATAGTAACCAAAGCTGGCGGAAACAGCTGTCTTTCTTACCGTCCTCCCTGGACACTCACATTGTGCTCCTAAGAGCTCATGGGCCAGTGGGTGTAGGGGAGACACACAAATAAAGACAGAATCATGGTCACAGGTGATAAATATTATTTCTTTGGTGTCTTGGAGAGGCTTCTACTTCTTAAGGGTGGGGACAGGAGAATCCATGGGAGTTGAGTTGTAGTCAGCCAGGGTGGGAGGGGAGGGGAGCCTGCCTGAGGCAGGACTGTGTGCAAAGGCCTCTTCCCCAGAGATGACCCAGAAATCAGTGTGGCATTTGGAGGCAGGGGAGTGGACAAGAACAAAAGCAGAGGGTCAGAATCCTCAGTAATGCAAACAACCATTCCCCATTTTACCTTTGTAAGAGTATTTTTTATGGCACATTCTCAAATCAGGACACATTTCTATACTAAATGGAGGTTTATCATTCTTGGCACCTGCTAAACATTTCTATTACTTTTTTTCTTCCTCTGCAAAGTTCTGTTAGCTCACTGGTTCAGAATTGTATGTCTAAAATCATACACATCACAGATATTTATAGCATGTTGTCTCTTTCTCAGTTATCCTTTATATTCAAGCATGCATTTTGTTGCATGTCTAAATAATAAGTTGTTCTAAAGTACTGCATTCACAGCAAGTAATTTGGGGGAGTTTGTGTATAAAATACATGCCAGATGAGAAGGTAATTCCCAAACTTAATGAAAAAGCAGTTATTTCCTAACTCTTGCATTTTAAAAAAGCAAGCTTTTAAACATGTGTTATTTAATCTTATTTAAAGCAACATTAATCTTAGAAGTATGGTTAATAGACATAGGTTAGAAAAGGTCATTTGGAATAATTAGTATTCTTATTTTCATGCTGTAGTTTAAAATTTACATAGTACCGATTGTATATTGATCTGCACTCACAGTGCTCCCAAAGGGTTTACACCTATACCATTACACTTCATGTTTTATTATTGTCTCTTTTGTGACACATATTTGTATATGTTAGCCTTCTTTAAAATGCTAAGATTTTAGTACTTTTATGAATACACAATAAATAGTAGCCATTGTAATGATGCTGAAAAAGTGTGAAGAAACAGAAAATACATAAAAGTATAATTTTAACTTGTAAAATTTGGGCAGATGTTAAAGGTTGTCAGTGTTTCTTGGGTCGATGACTTAATGGTGAAAGGGAAATGTAATTAATCCTTATTATGAGGGTCACATTTGATGAAGCACATAAAGATAGAATGTGTGCATATCTCACTCTTGTCATTTCTGGTATATCCTCAAAATCTTCTTTGAAGCATGTATTTAGGGAAAGTGCTCTTCTGTTTCATTGCAGGTGAGATCATATGACACACTATTCCATGACTTGTTTCTCTCACTTAACAGTTATCCATTGTAATAACGGTAGTTAGCATCCATTTAGACAGGCACTTTCTTAGACAGCTTTACTTGCATTATCCTCTATATTCTTGAGGCACTGACAGATGAAGATGCTGAGGACCCCAGAGATAGACAGGAACCTGGCTAAGGACACAGCTCAGTAGTAGAACACTTGCGTATCCTGTATAAAGAGTACAGATCGATCCTCAACATCAGAGGTGTGAGGTTGGGGAGAAGAAGGAAAGAATGAGAGAAGGAAGGAGGGAAGGAAGAATAGACTCAATTCATGGGACAGGGCTGAGCTCCAAGCGCAGGGGGCTGATGACAGAACCTGGACCACCAACCACCATCTTTCCTCATGAGTGCTGTGAGGATGTGCTACCTCAACCTAGACTGATGCTTTTGCTCTCCTGTAGGGCTAGTTTCAAATGTCATCAGTGTCCTTCACATTCTCCTCAGACCCATTGCTTTTGGGACATCAACTGCCCATATCTGCATCTCTTTATCTGAGGACTTTTGTCAAAGCCCCCAAAGCCCAAGGCACCCTGCCCACCATCAGTGGTCCTCAGCCCATGAGGGAAATACACTGATGCCCTAGCCCCGTCCAGAGTAACCTGGGATGTGTATTCCATGCTGACCCTCAAGAGCTCCTCAGTGTCTAGATCCTGTTGCCTGTGGTAGTAACTAAATTCTTGTTACACTTTCTTGACTGCCTTCCCTTTCAGTGCCAACCTCTGTTCTTTACCTACCTCCTGCATTGACTTTTGTCCCCCACACTGCTCTGGGGCTCCCAGATGGAGCAGGGTATGTAGTGTCCACTGTGTGACAACACTGTAAAGTGCTCACTTAGTCTCAGATGTTGGTAGACTTTCAGAGGACTCCCAGTTTTCTGGGCAGTTACAAAGAAGAGTATTGTGGTAAATAATCCTGATCCAGACCCCATGCCTCCAGGGCACACCCCATTCATGCACACCCTGTGCTTGTCTGGCCCTGGCTAGGGCCAGCATCATTCCTCCCAGGAATGGACCAGTTCCCAGGAGTCATTTATTCCTCTCAGGGTACTCTTCGGTGTGGAGTTGGCCATGTGTATCCTGTGGCATTCAGACTGATAGACCAGAGGGACCCCATGGTCATGCCCTGGGGTCAGGAGAGTGGCTGGTGAGCAGAACACACTCAATTGTAAGCACACTGTATTTCCTGTATGGGGCCATGTGGTAATGATTGGCCAGAATGGATGACCACTTAGCCCATTCCCTGAAATCGTCTGCTGACTTGGGTTGCCTCAATTTTTTATGGAGGTGGGACTCTGCCCTGGGCCCCTCATACTCAGGGAGGCAGTCTTATTCTAGAAGTTTAATTGAGTATCTCCTGAATCTAGCAAGCTTTCCTGTCTCTGTGTCAAGACTTATTTACTCATTGGATGTAATTATCTGTTCTTTAGGGAGAGAGGGAACAGACAACAATTTTTTAAAAATCTTTAGACAAATTTCAAGAAGGATAAAAGACTCCTGCCATGTGAACAGTGGGAGAGTCATTTGGAAAGCCCGATGGTAGACTCTCAAGGCCCTTTAAATAAAATGGTGTCTTCATGTCCATACATTGATTATTTTATAAAAAGTGTTTTTAAAAGAATATATAAAAATGAGTTTATATAAGTCAGGGTCACATTTTGATGGAACTGCCATTTCCAGCACCTGAAAATCACTTTGCTAAACCTACAGGGCCTCCCTGGAAGAGGTAGAGGTGGCTGTTGCCACCTTTCCACCATTCCTTATGCATGCCAAAGACTCTCAACAGCGGTTTGTGACCACATTCCTGTCCCCTTAGTTATGTACTTGTATCTCATTGGAGAGGTGAATAGTTCGGCTCTTTAAAAGTAGGCCAGGGCCATGAACTGATTTCTGCCTCAGTGTCACTTGGGGTGTTCCGCAGACCAGGGCTCAGAGTAGATAGGAGGGAGCGGGAAGGCCTCTTAGGGCGCCAAATGCAATGGAGACACAGAGACAGGTGAGTTTCAGATCCATTTGAAGCATAGAAACAATCGATTGAGCTTGGATAAACTTTGACCCAGGCTATCCAGGCTGGCTTCCAGGCCGAGTAGATGGGGAAGAGAGGAGGAGGGCCGGATTTAGGGGATGGCTATAAAGAGTTCATTTTTAATTTTTTTTTTTTTTGCCCTGTTTTTGTTTTTTAAGCTGGAGGTAGCATTGGCTCCAGGGAAATGTCAAGGATGGGAAGGTCTGGAATTCAGAAACGTCCAAGCTGAGGGTGCTGGAATCCAAGCGGGGCATTTAAAATTATAGTCTTAGAGGGGGACCCTGTGTGTAGGGTTAAGGCCAGAGGGACACGGGAGGCAGGGACGGAAGAGAACCCGTCCTGAGGTTGGGGAATGGTCCTCATGCCCACGCCTCCATGCTGCTGTGTGATCTGCAGCTGCCCATGGCGGCATTGCCGAGCACCAGTGCAGTGGGGCTCTGTGCCCGTTAGTGCATGGAGATCAGGGGTACAGAGAGGAAGGAGATCGCCAGCGCTGGGCCTCAGGGCCCCACTTTTGGGACCTCAGGGTGAGTGCTGAGCTCATGAGGCTTCACCAGCTAAAACAAGAGGTGACATTTTTATTCATGGATGCACAGATGTAATGTGACGTGGAGAGCCTAAGTCCAAACTGTGATAGGGGAACAAAGTGACAGAAGCTAAACCCCGAAGAAGGCAGAAAAGCCATTAGATATTCGGAGTAAATAAGAGATCGGACAGTTTTCCCATCACTCTTAACCTCTGTCACTTACGTAAAGACTTTGATATTTTTAATTCTATGCTTCATTAAATAGTTCAAGATTTACAAAAGCAGTTGACCAAGTGAAAATAGTAATAGAACTATAACTGCTTATATAAATGTTTCTGTGAGCACAAAGACACTGCCTAGGTACGCTATACTCACGCAGTATGTAAACTCACCGTGCAGCTTAAATTCAGGTTGGAAAAGTTGTTTTTATTGGATGGGATCAGACACTTGTGCTTCTGTGACTGGAACACTCTCAGATCTACCCTTTCCGTCTTCTGTAGATGAAAGGGACCATTGCTTGTGGTAGAAGACACTATGAATTGTTATCCTTGCTCCTTTCTTTTTTAGGGTCAACCAGGACCGCTAGGACCGCAGGGTCCCATAGGCCCTCTAGGCCCCCCAGGACCCATTGGGATTCCCGGAGAGAAAGGACTGAGAGGTGATCGTGGCCCTCCCGGGGCAGCAGGGGAGAAGGGAGACAAGGTGAGAGGCTTTATCAGTGAGAGAGCTGCATTAACCTTTTAGCAATGCCTCTCTGCCAGCTTTTATGATCACAAGTGGAACAAACTTGCATCTCATCACAAATAAATCTGTGTTCTTCTGTGTTTATTAGTCCTTGTTCTCCACCCGTTTTCAGAGAAGTCTGCACTTTTCAACTTTTTCTGTGCACTTAAGTATGTGCCACTGAGGCGCTGAACCATTTGATGACCAAAAACAACCAACCAACCAATCAAATGGAAAAAAACTAAGTGATTTCTTAAGTGTGTCATCATAAGCCCTTCTTTTCTCACTCAGTAATGTCTTAGAGATTATTTCATATTAATTTTCGTGGATTGAATTTATTCCTTTAAAATGCTGCATCATTTGCCATATTATGAATAAAACCATCTTTGATTTCCTGGCAGTGAGAGCCTGAGATTCCACCCCAACTTTGTATCATGTATAAAAATAATCTGGTAAATTGTTGCTTCCATTTAAGAGTTTGCTATTGTATGATAGACCTTCAGGAGTGAATTTCCCACTGCCAATATGTTGAATATTTTATTTGAGTCAATACTGTCAACCTTTAAGTACAAAAGGTTATTTAAACTCATCAGAATAAAAGCAAGTGACAATGACTGATGAATATCCTTAAATATCAGTCATTAATATTTCCTGTTTCCAAGTAAATCAACTTGTTAATCCAATAATTTAGCAATTTTTATATCATTTTATTTTCTTGGATTTTAGGGTCCAACTGGTGTACCTGGATTTCCAGGTTTGGATGGTATTCCTGTAAGTTTTCTTGCATTTTCTCCATTTTTTTTAAAAAGAAAGCAGGCACACTCACCAGAATCCTTAAAACCACATGTTCAAAAAGTATAAATGTTGGGCAAACTTTTTGTTTTTTTACTCCAGCACACATAAGGGTAGTTGTACTTCAGTTTTGTATAGTAACTCTAAAACTAAAAGCTTTTCCTGAAAAACAAGGCTTTTGAACAGATTAGAGGTAAAAAAAAATTCAAAAACAAGGTTATATATACTTGTGACATCAAGTACAGTGTTATGAAAGTAAATATAAACACAATGAAAGCTTTATTTCCTGGTGAGCCCAAGCATTGGAAGTAAGTGTACTTAAGATTCATTTCTAGGCTGGGGATTTAGCTCAGTGACGTAAGCACCTGCCTTGCAAACATGCAGTTGTGAGTTTGATCCTTGGTACAAAAAGAAAAAAAAAAAAAGACTTGTTTCTAACATTGAGTTAGCACTGGAAGAAAGAAGAGGTATTTGGGGGGCTTAACAACTCATTGGAATCTTTCTAATGATCTCGAGGTTTTCCGTCTCAAATCTCCCAGAATATTCTAAACTATATTAATTTAAATTTGAGTGTATTAAAATATCTTATTTTCAGTTTCACTACGCAGCGTAACACTTTTGGGCAGGGAGGGAAGCTTTACAAAACTAAACAGTATGTGAATCATGATATGAGATTGTATTGCATAACCTTTATGTTACGATATTCTTGCAAAAACTCTTCACTTACAGTTTTGCTTTTGGTAGGGTTACCCAGGGCCTCCCGGGTCCAGAGGCAAACCTGGAGTGAATGGATACAATGGCTCAAGAGGAGATCCAGGGTTTCCAGGGGAAAGAGGGCCTTCTGGCCCACGAGGCCTCCCGGTAAGAAGCCCATACCCAAGCATCATAGAAATCGTAAGAGAAAAGGCCCTGCAGTAGGAACAGGCTTGGTACATGCGAGCAACAGAGTGAATATGAGTGGTGGCTGAGAGAGGATTTCTAGGGATGCGGATGGAGAGGTGGGCAGAATTTGAATCTGGGGGACTTGCAGACTGGCAAATGTGCATTTCTTAAGCTCTTAAGTTGAACCATATCTCATTCTACAGAAGGGGGCACACTCAAGAGCGCACAAGTCTCAATGGTAGCTTTAGCTCTGCAGGCAGCACTGACCACAGTGCTGAAGTTTGTTGCTGTGGTCTTTCTGCGCAACAGCTGTCTTCCACCTGCCTCCTGTGACACAAGAAGCAACTCTCACTGTGTACATTAATGTGAAAAGGGCCGTGCAAGACGAAGCCACCCAAACCACTGCACAACCTTAGCACCAATGAGAAAAATTACCATTGTTTCATGACATTTAAGATGTTCTGTTGAAACATTAAAAGTTCTCTTATTGTCACTTATAAATACACAGGAGAAATAAAAATTAAAACTAACCCTTATTTTTCAAAACACATTTCATTGTAAATACTTACCAAGAATAATTCGTACAGTGCTGGCCTTGTCATCGTGTATTTTATGATGTGAAGTGAATGTGTTTTCTGTGCCTTGGCAAAATGTCATACTTCTTTCTCATTTGGACTGTTTTCAGTGTTGTGAAATAGCTCACCGAGTTCCTATAACATCCAGTTTTTCCTTCTGTCATTTTCTCCAAGACTTTGCCATCCTTTTCATCACGATCTCTTTCCTCCTTTATGTTGATGAGTTCATCTTTCTTGTGTTCTTCTGGCTGCCAGGGTTTCATGAATGACAGCAATGCCCACATTCCCACAGACAGCTATTTTGTCTCTAACTCCACTTACATTCTGTTTGAATTTCATTTCCAGGATTCCAATTTTTCACTTACTTGTTTTGCTTTTGTCTTTGTCAGCCAATTCCCTCTTTCATCTGTCCATTTTTGTGACATATCATTTGGGTTTACCCCTGGGGAGTAAGGAAGAAGCACACTCACCTGCTTTGCTGTGCACATGCATGTGTGTTTGTGTGCATGTGTGCACACGTATAACGAATGTACATTGATCAATGATTGCAACTGGCTTCTATTATTTGTTGATTTGCAAACTGAACAGCTGGAAGTGAATCTTGTACTCCATGCAATTACTCAACTAATTTCAGTGACAAAAGTCACCGAAATTTGAACCATATTACTGGACTGGTGTTATTTAATTGTGGAACTGAAATTCATGCAGACTGGAGCTGTATAAAGCCAGGACTGCCTGTGAGGGCAAACCTGTCTTCTCAAGCAAACTCGCCATGGAACCATTAAGATTTTCCCACCGGAAGTGGAGTCACACACTCTGAGGTGGGGTCAACTTTGAAGCCTGTGTGTTCCTTATAGGATCTTGACATATTGACCAGTAGAATTCCTAAGTGAAGATATGTTAAGATTTCAAGTAGAATATAAGGCTGTTCTGTTAGGAACACTTTGGGGAGGAGAGTCCACTGAGAAATTTACTTCACTTAGAAAGGAAAACACTGAAATGGCAGTGTACATTTTCCTCTTAACTGATTATTTTATTCTTAGGGCCTGCCTGGAGAAAAAGGAGAAAAAGGAAATTCAGTGTTCATTTCAGGTGGCATTAAAGGTATTCGAGTAAGTATTACGTTCTTTGTAGGTTTATTATTTTTTTCCAGTAGGTGAGCCATGTAGACAGGGATTTTCTGTGGAGTGTCACTGAGTACACTAATTTTCCTTTTAATTATTACCCTCACATACTGAGATGGCACTGTCTTTCATGTGTGAAAACACTGGTCTTACTTACTATGTCTGCGAGCTTCTGGTACCAGCAAACCATTTGGAATCATGAGGATATGTTTTTTTCAGTTGCTCAAGGTTGTCACTATTGACATTTTGGGCCAATCACTGGTTTGGGGGCTTCCTGGGCATTGTAGGATACTGACCAGCCTGCCTGACATCTGGACTTGACCCATTAGGTTCCAGTAGCATCTTCTTACCCCCACCAGGAACATTTCCAGACATTACCAAATGTGCCCTGAGTTGGGCGGAAATCACCCCCGGGTGAGGGCACTGATTCATTTATAGTTAGAATATCCTAGTGTTATTATTTATCTTCTAGTATAAAGTCACCACTATTGAATCTGAAAATCATTAAAACCTTTGCACTTCTAATATTTTTAGCAAGGAATGATGTGAAACATTCAGGAATAAGCTGAAACCATCTCATCTCTCATATGAGAATCCTCAGATGAGAAAAGGAGTCCAGCAGACATGACAAAGCAGGAGGAGGGAGCATTTGCAAGACAGGGGGTCGTTTTTCTTACGGAAAAGCACTATAAACTGCGCCTACACTGCTTCTAGTAAACCCTAATTTCTGTGCCACCTGGAGTGGGAACACCTGAGCGGGGGTTTCTTCTGTGAGTTCACAGAATTTGTTTGCAGCCTCTGCCCGCTCCATCCATGTTGGACCGGAAGTGCCATGGTACTGTGGTTCTGTTTCCAGTTGTGTCCAACCTGTAGCCAGCCGTTTCCCCCTCCTTTTAAAAATGTCATAATAAAATATTTTTAAAAGGACATTTTCTTGCTTATATGCATTAGCCACATCATGTATTTTATATACAGCCCCAGAGAGCTCCTCTTCACTCAAAAACAAAAGGGCAGAAGATGGCCAGTAGAGCCGGGTGGACATTCCTGAAATGATATATGAATAGATAGTATCAAAACAGGGTTGTTCTGGGAGCCATGGTGGTGACCTCGAAGGCGTGAGCTGACCCTTGCTTGCACTGTGACTGGAGATGTTTCCTTAACCTAGCTGAATGGTAAAAGAAAGTTAAAATAATATCTACCTTGCCTTCCCACTGTTAAGATGATATGTTATAAACAATTCAAGTTTTGGCATATTATAAACTGTATAATGCTGTACATACAATATTAGTTTTGATGAGTATTTTTGTAACTGCAACAATAGAAAACAAGTGTGATAGAAAGGGAGATGGGTATGAGAATTCTTTTTATTACATCTTAATTATCTAAAAAATGTTTTTACCCCATCTATTCTTCCCTTTGCCTCCATCTCTTGAGTGTGAGAATTGTTCATCTTCAGAAATAGAAGCTTTCTAATAAAATGGACCATAAATCAATTATATTGAGGCCACCTCTGTATCTACTTTGCAGGCATGAAGGTGACTATTTTAAAAAACAGTAACAGAAAACTAGCAAGTATTGGTAGCAGTGTGGAGTTGGAACCCTAGGGGAATTGTTGGTGGAAACGGTTTGACTCTTGTGGAAAGTAATTCCTCATAAAATTAAATATAAGATTGCCATGTGATCCCACAGTTTCGCCTCTGTAGATATAACCTAGAACAGTTGAAAGCAGAGACTCAAACAGATATTTAGATACTCGTGTTCATTGTAGCATTATTGACAGTAGCCAAAGGGTGGAAGCTGCCCAAGTAGCCATTGACAGATGAATGGAAAAACAGATCAGCAAATGTGGGTGTAGCCACATAGATAGATATTAGGCTGCTTTGCAAAGGAAAGAAATTCTGACACATGCAGAAACATGAATGAACCTTTAGGACATTGTGTTATACAAAATAAGCCAGGCACAAAAGGACAAATGTCGTATGAGTCTAATTGAGAGAAGTCAAATTCCTAGATGCAGGAAATAGAATGGTGGTTGCCAGGGACTAAGAAGAAGGTGTAGTGGGGGGAAGATGGTGTTTTAATGGGTACAGAGTTCTACAGAGGAAGTTAAAAACATTGTGCGATAACAATGTGATGTACTTAGCGCCACAAAGATATCTATCACCCAAAATGGTTAAAATGTTAAATTTCATTTTATACATAATTCACAATTTAAAAATAGCCTAAAGCCAACACAGTATTACACTTTGGTCCTGTAAGGTAAGTTGAGTCTCAGCACAGAATAACAAGCCTGAAATTCGGACCAAAGTGGGTGTGAAAGGCCCTCCTTCTGGGGCATTCCCAGAGAGCTAGGCCAGGTGCAGCCAGCAGGCCAGAAAAGGGTGACCTGCAGCAAATGGGGCCATTGGGTGGAGAATTGAGAGCTGAAACAGAAGGGCAATCCTGTCTTAACTCTACGCTGTCAGGACTCCAGCAGCATCCTCTGGTCCCTGCCCAGCAGGAGAATCTAGGGCCTAAGAACAGGAAAAGGGAAATCACCTCCATGCAGCCCTGAAAAGGTGAACAAACTGAGCTCTTAGACTCATCCAAAGAGCTCTTGAGTGTACTTCCATTTTTATGTCATCTCTGTGTTAGGAAAATTGTACTGCTCTTCCTAAACAGTATACCGTTACTATTGCAGGGAGACAGAGGGGACCCAGGAGCACCCGGCTTACCAGTAAGTCTCCAGAGCAGGCTACACACTTCTGTCTCCTTCACACACACCTTTCTGCTAGCTATGCAAATTGTGGGGCCCACATAGTACAAAAGGAAAATCTGAGTTCCTCCTTCAAAAATTAAGAATTTCAAGATGATGGCAGCAGAATGTTAAGTCCATGTGTGATGACACAGGCCACCCGGGATGTGGTCCTTGGGCCTCAACAGGCTTCTTCTTACATTCCCTTTTTGTCTATTGGTGATCAATTGACATCGTTTAGGTCTCTGCAGACGTTTAACATTTCTGAAAGTAGATCTGCTTAGAAATTATGTTTATTATATGCATACCTGGGCCCCCTGCATGTGTACCAAGTAGAAATTATCCTGGTCTGTCTGTCTACTACTTTTTGTCTGCAAATCAGTAATTTATTATATTATATTATATTTGATATCTTGCCCCATCTTTTCTTGATTATATTTCCCCGATTGTCCTTTAATTTGGCTTCACAACATCTTGGTATTTTCAGATTTATTTTCCCAGGTTGATTTCCCTGTTACCACCAGAATCTCAGTTCTTTGTAATAAATGAGATGTATTTGATGCTTCTGTCCTCTTCACACAGAAGGCAGCTTTTGTACACTCACAAATTACTACACGTGGAAGTAGAGCAGAGGGCTTCTCTCCACCCCTCTGGCTTGCTAGCGTAGAACATGCCTGTGGCAGTGTGTGTAGGACATTGTGACTTACCTGTCTCACAGAATTGCTTGTGATGGAGTCACCTTGTTCCTGGGAAGGGGATGACATTGCTTCTCACTTGGGTCTTGTAGACGACCTTTTACTCATGTATTAAAAAGTATAAATACATTAATAAGTAGATATTAAAGGTTGCTAACCCTAATAATGTTTTTTAAATCCAGATGTGATTATCTATGGAATTTAGGAATAGCTAGCAACAAGTTTTCTTTATTCTCAACTTTTCACTTGTTGGTTGGAGATGGGGTCTTGCTATGGTGCCCAGATTCCCGAGCTCAAGTGAGTCTTCTGCTTCTGCCTCCTTGGGATCTGGGGCTAGAGCTGTGGCCCACGGTGCTAGGTGTCTTTATCTTTCACTCTTACAAGATTTATGTGTTAAAAAAGAATGAAAAGATCGATCGATATCTGAGCTTGAACTGAATCTGGTCACAGGATTTTTCAACGTGGCATAGCTGTCGCTGCTGCCCGGCTCGGCTGTAGCTGCTCCAGCTACACAGGTGCAGTGGGAACTGATTGCATGGTGGTCTTTATCCACATGCAATTCCAGGGAGCTCATGCGATGAGTGAGGACTGTGACTGTTTTTAGTAAATGTGCTGACTTTTGTCTAGGGAGCCAGAGGTGCACAAGGACCCGAAGGCCCAATGGGAGAACCCGGAGCACCAGGGTTAACAGTAAGTGCAGCATTGAAGGTGCCGTCCCTCTAGTACAGAAATAAATATAGAAATATAAATGTAGAAAATGAAACCGAAGCCTTGGGCCAGGCCTAGGTAGGTTTGTTGAGTGCTTCTAAAACCCCACCATCATTGGTGGGAGCGTGTGTCCATACACAGGTTTGGTAAGGCACTGGCTTCATGTTTGTACAGAAGAGCCCATCCACAACCCAAAGTCCATCATGCATATTTTTTATTTTTAAATAGCATGCAATAGTGGTATACACTCAGTGGGTACAGCGTGATATTTTAGCATAGGCATGTAATGTGTAATGATCAAACCAGGAAACCAGTATATCTGTCACATCAAATGTTTGCCTTCTATTATTGTTATTAGCTATATTTACCCTCCTGTACTATAGAATACCAGAACTTAGCCCTCTTTTCTAGTTGTATTTTTGTGTCCATTAAACAATTTACTTCTCTGCCCCCTTCTCCTCTGCCCCCTTCTCCCCTACCCAGGCTTCCTAGACTCTGAACTATTCTGTTCTCTATTATTTTGTCATTGTTCTCTGTTATCTACTATCTGCTTCTATGGGATCATTTTTTTAGCTTTTACAAATGAGTGGGAATGTAGTAAGCATATTTAAAAGTCTGGTGTTTCCTACATTGGAACTTGGGGCAGCCAGTGAGGTACATTTTGATGTCTATGACTGATAACCGATCTGTGGTATTTTTGTCATTAATCTAGGGACCTCAAGGCCACCCTGGGAGTCCAGGTTTGAAGGTAGGTGGTCATGAGTAAGATACATAAACAGACTCCACTTAATGAAATAACTAGTGTCTGGTATTTGTCAGAATTATATCTTTTCTCCTACCAGACTTCCCAAAGTATTTGAATAAACTTCAGCAAAAAGCTTACTTGCTTTTTTTTAAAACTTCAGAGCAATTAGATTTCTTTTCTTCTGTTTTTTCAGGGCAATCCTGGTGTGGGAGTAAAAGGACAAAGGGGAGACCCGGTAAGTATCCCCTTTACATGGAGGAGCAGATGTTAGAATGCGTGTGCGGTCCAGCGGTGGAGGCTCTCCGGGGTAGTGTTTAGCTTGGGTCCATCCTCTAGTCGCTGCCCACTTTTACAGCTGAGAACTTCTCTGCTGAATTATTACAGCACCATCACCCTGAGCTGTAACATGACAGGCAAAACTTAACACTCCGTTCAAGTTAATTTATGTGATGCATTTCACCCTAGCAAGAAGAGATGTAGTACTTTTGACTCTATAAATCTCCGGAGCAATAATTTTGCTTAATTACTGATTTGTTTGGCTTACTTTCAAAAATTGCATTAGAATCCTAAAGTCCACACATGCTTATGAGTGCTTGGGAACACACTCCCCCTCTCCTGTACCCCTCTGCACTATCCCTCCCCTACTCCCTGCTCCCACACATGCAGTCTGTTCTGCTGAAGCATGAAACATAGGATACTTTTTAGAAAAGTGCTTTCAGGTGGCAGTTTGTCTGGAAGCATTCTGAATGCCCAACAGTGGGTGAGCAACTCTTGATAATGATGGGCAGCAGAAACAGAGCATCAATTCTAAGCCAGGTTATTATTGGCACCGAGCATCAGTACTTAGCAAGGTGGACCTGATTCCTGCTGTCACGAGGTCCTGGCATGGTCAGCTGTGGCATAGTCATTAACAGAACAATGCAATAGCCAAAAATACAGTGAAGACTGCATGGTGTGGAGAAACATCCATAATGTTGATGAGAAAGAGCAAGTTAAACATGTGTAAACCCGACATCATAAGAGCAATGACAAAAAAGTGACATTAAAATGTACACTTAGAGAGGGATTCTTCGACCTCAACACTGCTGATAGTTCATTGTTTTAGGGGCTGTCCTGTGAGTTTCAGGACCTTTTGTGGCATGTCCTTTACCTACTAGATGCCAGCAGAATCCTTTCCCCTTGACGGTGACAACCAAATGGGTCACGATGTCTAAATGTCCCTAGGAGGAGGCAGTTTCCAGTCACTTCCTTCCCCTTTGAATCTTGAGATCCACTGATTCAGACAAATGACTGAATGAAATACACTGAAATGATCTTAGTCACACTTGGGAAGTCATGGACCCCCATGAATGTTTGACAAGGCCAGAGGCCCCACATGCCCACATAATCGAGACCCAGTGCCTCTTGGAGCCAAGGAAGCCCTGAAACTGACAGTTGTGTGCATTTGCAATCTCAGGCTGTGATGCGGATGTATTTGATTATGAAGTGGTCCCTCAAATGACCCAAGATGTGCTTCCATGAGTGCTTTCAGTAATGATATTATTTGAAAATTTACTTTGTTCTGAAGATGTGGCTATAAGCACCTTATGTCTATTTTCTACTTAATAAAATAATGTTCTGAAGTAAGCAATATTATAACCTCTTTTTCACAGAGAGTAAAAGTGACAAGCAGAGGAATTTTAGAAATGAGAGCTAAGAAACATTATGAAGAAATAGTCTGGTGTCCCATAGCCAGCAAGGGCCCAGTTGAAAGCACAAGGTGACCTGGGTTTAATCACCAGTGGGGGACGATAATTCTAAGTACAGAACCATAGCAACAATCACAAAAATACAAAATAATTACCTAAGGATGACAATTCATTTTGTTATGGAAAAATCAATTCAAAAGATTTTTTTCTCCAATACAATACTGTCTATAATAATGTGAAAACTTTTGGCTACCTATTTTATGTAATTTTAAAATATTATTGAAAATAAATAAGAAATAACCTAAATTTATTTAATATAAAAATTTAAAAAATCTAGCCAGTTTAGATTGCTTTACAAATAATAGCACATTTTTTTACTTCTACTGTCTTTATTTTGTAACTGACCATCATATTTTTAAAATTTTTTTTAAATTATAGAAGATAAAACAGAATAAAACCAATCAAAACAAACCAGTGTAAGAGATACAGACCTAAAAACATTATGAAATCAATAATAGTTACCATAATGCCTTTTGATGTCTTCAAAATAGCTGCAGATAACTTCAGACATAGTAAAAATCAAGCAGAACGGAATAGAATAGAAACAATAAAGCAAAACAATGAATGCAATAAATAATTTCAAAACAAGCCAATAATGAATCTAGAATTGCTACCATAGTATTTCTTGCTGTTTGTGAAATAGCTGCTCCTACCATTGGATTTGACATAATCAAACAAAAGAGAATAAAATGTAACCCAACAAAACAATGGAAATGATGTAGGACTTATAAAATAAGACCATACAGAATCAACCATGGCTGCAGCCCTCAGAAGAAGGTCCTCCCTAGATGTCACAATGTACCGCTATCCTCTGAACCCATGATTAGACCACTGGTCCTAGTCCTGCAATGTTAGTGAAACCCCAAAGCACCACAGGCATCCATTTGCATCTCACCTCCATAGCTATCATCACAGCCTGTGTTTCTCCAGGTGAGCCGGTTGCTTCCAGCAGGGGTAGGGAATGAAGGGTGGGTGGTGGGTGGTACTTCTTGTTTGCCAGCCTAAGCTCCAGAAGGGGCTGGGGTCTGGTTGTTCCAGTCCAGAGGGGGTCCGTTCATGGCACTGGTTCCCAGACTGGCTCTGCTAGCTGATGTGTCCTTTGTTTTCTCTGCCCCTAGTCCAAGAATGGTGCTGACTCACGGGGAGAGGCTAGGGTCTCAATAACACATTTTTTATGATAGATTATTTGTTAGGCATTAAAAATCACAATTCTGAAGAAGTTTAAGAATAATTGGAAAATGCTCAAAAATGTTCATAAAAATATGACATTGTTTAAACATTTAATACAATATAAATTATATTACATATTTTAAATTATACTTATGTATTATATAGTGATATGCTGATTGTTTTTAAAATTACATTTAACACACCATTTATTCACATATATATGTATATTTGTATAGATACATATGTGCATATATATATATATATATATATATATATATATAAAACAACTAGGCATTATACCAACTCTTTAATAGAGATTACCTCTGGGTGGTAAGATTATGAGTCATTTTTATTTTTAAATTTATATTCAACTGTATGTACTGCATTTCTTTTTTGATTTTTTAAAATAAAACCAAAAAAGGGTAGAAATGATACATAATTTCAAAAAAATAACATTAAGAAATCATCACTAGTTAATATATTACATATTGTTTGAAGTAGTTGTTCAACTCACAAAATCAAAGCATAAAAAATGAACATATAATCCAACAATGACAGCCCAAACTATTCTGTGTGATGGGCTATCAAAAACTTAGTAGTATGTTTATCAATCTTGCACACTTAAACATACACTTATATATGTATACCTGCAAGTTGTTCTTTCCTTTTGAGCACTTTCTTTCCCTTTCATTATTACAGTATCTGTTGTACAATTTGGATCTTATTACTCTTTTTTATTACTATTTTTGTAAATATATTGTCTCTAGTGTACTACATTTCAATAAGAAACAGAAGCTATTGTTTTGAATTACATGACAGCTTTCCCATGGTTTATACTTTAAATTAATGATATACAGAGTTGGAAGCTTTATAGCTTAATGAATGGGTAAAAGTCTTCTTTGCTTCAAAGCATAAATTAATATAAAAGTCCCATTCTGCTGTTTTTTTTTTTTTTTTAAGGGTGAAGTTGGCCAGCAAGGTTTTCCTGGACCCACCCTGTTGGTAGAGCCACCTGATTTTTGCCTCTATAAAGGAGACAAGGTAACACCTAGCCATAAGTCATCTTGGTGAAGTCATAACAGAACACCTTTCCTGGACACACACCCATGGCAGCAAGTGCTGAGTACGTCTATGCATCACAGTGCTGACCTCAAAGCTGCCTTAACAAGCCAGCACTATTATTAGCAGCATTGTATTGGGGTGATTGATAAGGCTTGGAAAATTACCACGTTCTCAGCTTTACCCAGATGTTCAGGCTGCTGACTTGTGCCAACACCTGCATAATACATGCCCTCATAAATGTTGGTTTGATAGGTGCACAGAAAAGACCCCAGCACAGAGCTTAGCTGTCTGTCTTTAGATGTTATAGATGGTTTTGATGTCTTGATAACTGAAAGGGTAACAAATGCATAGAGCTGAGCCCAGAATAGACTCTTGGGCAAATGTTAGTTTGCCTGTGAGCTTTGGCTCTGATATTATTGATGCTGCATGCAAATTCTGGTTTTTTCCCCCCAATTGCTAGTTAATTTCACTGCCTTGTTCAAAAGAAGCCACTTCTTCCACTGACTTCTGTCTCAAGCTTACATCAGTGGTGCTCGTTCCATGGTGGTCCACCCCATGTTTCATACGTTTCTTACACCGTCTTGAGGTGTCAGGGTAATTAGTGGCAGGTAAAGCATGATCTCATATTAACATAAACTAATGAAACAGATTGTCAGAGGAGATGATTTCTGATAGATGGAATTTGTATGATTCATAAACCCGATTGTATTTTTTGTGATAATTTTAGGGTATAAAAGGAATTCCTGGAATGATTGGATCTCCAGGCCCACCAGGACTCAAGGTAATTTATTTGAATATCTTTTTCACCTGTATTAGGTGCTAACTTCATTTCAAATTTTATTTTGCATGAGGTCCCATTGCTTTAAATGCTAATCTATATGAAGTGGATCGAAAAATACAGTGAGTGTTTAATATTTTAAAAACGTATTACAGTAAAAGACGCATAATTGCTATTATTCCTCTCAAACATGCTTTACTTCAAACATGTTTACCTCATGGTTCCCTCCACTTCCCGAAGCCGTTCTTGATGTCCTCTTTCGTGAGTTTCTTCAGTCGCACTGTCAGGGCTGCCTCCATGTCCTAAGTAGATTCAAAACGTTTCCCCTTCTCAGTCACTTAGACTGTGGGGAAGACCCAGAAATCATACACTGCCGGAGCCAGTGAGTAAGCTGGCGGAGGACACCTCTTATTGTTTCCACTTGGCAGAAACAATTCAGGACATCCACGCAGCCGTGAGAGCACATCTCAAGAGACTCAGGAAAGAGAATTTCCATCATTGCTTCAGAAAGTGGCAAGAACCGTGAGAGAAGGGCTTCTGTGCAAGGGGAGACATTTTCAGAGGGATTGGTGGTAGTGTGTCTTTTACTGTTGCAAAATTTGTAACTCTGGTTTAAATATTAATTGTACTCTCTGATCAGGTATCCACTTTGCCAGACCTTTTTACTGTCACTGTATTTCTGAGGACCTCTGGTCTAACATAGTTGTTTAAACTGCTGATATCTTGTTGATGAACTAGTGCTGTTTGAAGCCTTCTAAGTATTGTCATCTTTTAAAGGGAGCAGCTGGTATTGGGGTAAAAGGAGAGAAAGGTATTCCTGGTTTCCCAGGACCTCGGGTAAGGATCATCTGTTACTGATTTCTATTAATTGACAGAATTATGCTTACAGATTTGTAAGAGTAGATTTGTAATTCCCATGATCTCAAAAGTAGAAAACATGTCACATAAGAATCATATATTTTGGAGAATAAGAATCATGTTATAAGTAAAAGTCCCGAGGCACTCCTACTGGCATCATTTAGACAAAAGAAGCATACAAAAGCCAGAAAATTTAGGGGTAACTGACAGGAGTGTGGCGGTTCTTGTGTGGCTCAGTATCATTGTGATAGTTCTTTGAAATAGTTAACCTAAACCTATTCCATAAAAGTAAGATGCTTATCTAGGAATAGAATTTAGGGAATAAGCACAGTATCAGGCCTCCAGTATCACCCCTGTGTCATTGCTGGGACACTCATGAAATTACCATGTAGGCCAGTTCCTAGCTGGTCGTGGGCACTGAGCTTGTTTGACTCTAGACGTGGTACAGAATGGCACAATACTGGCTTCTATTGTCATTTTACCTTGAATGATTCACAGTGCAACTCTTCATTTCCAGACACATACATTGCAGTGATTTTTAAAGATATTTGACCTCATGCAATTATTAAATAAATTAAAACTGGAAGTTCATAACAATAAAAGCATGTTCTTAATTAAAACACTGGCAATGATGTGAATCAAATAAGATTAAGGATTGAGGTAGAAAATATTATAAGTAAATGGAATCTGTTTTCTGTTTATTCCTTTTATTCAACTATTTTTCCAGACAAGACTGAGTATCCATAGAATAATTCGATAAGGTAAAAACATTATACAACAAGCTGGCTCATGCATTTTAATTTAATTCTGTGTGTTGATTTTTCCTGCGTTCATTTAGGGTTACCCTGGTTCCTTTGGATCTCCAGGTTTTCCAGGATTAAAGGTAAATGTCCACCATATAGAGATATCAGGTGCCTTTTCATTAGTAAATGCAGTTCAGCATCCTTCAGAAGCCAGCCACTGGATACCAATGCTTGCTGTACCTGGAAAGGTGGATGCCTTCATTTCATGGATTGAAGGATTGAGCTCGGGTGCAAAAACTGAGCCCAGATCTATCTTACGCAGTGCAAGAGCAGTGTTAAGACTTTCCTGAGAGCCTCAGTGAACCTGTGTTGTTCAAATTAAATGAGAATGAGCTAATTTGTTACCCAGTTATATCTAATTTTTAAAAATACATCCTTGTGCTTGTTTGTAGGGAGAACAAGGGCTGGTTGGAGATCCTGGGCTATTTGGATTTCTTGGTCCAAAGGTAAAAAAGTGATTTTATTTAAATATATTCTGAGCCCAGGCATGGTGGCACAGGCCTGTCATCCCAGCACTCACAAGGCTGAGGCAGGAGGATTGTTGCAAGTTTGAAACCAGCGTGGCCTACAAAGTGAGCTCAAGGCCAGCCTGAACTGCATAGCGAGACAGTCTCAAAAAGATAAAACAAAAGAAAACAAATATATATATATATTTTTTAAGTATAAAAGTATATATTCTGATAAAATGTCATATCCTTTATATTACCTAACTTATCTTTTTAAAGTCTTTTGGAGGCTCATTCAAAAATGTAACTTTTTTAAAAAATGTAGCATTTGAAAGAGTTTTACATCCTTTTAGTGTGTGCTGTGTACCAGTATCCATGATTACTCTATTAGCCCGTCATTACCACATTAAACATAATGATATTGCAGTGTTTGTTTGTTTGTTTATTCTGTAGCTGATAGATCCCAGGACCTTGCATATGGCAGGCAAATATCACTGAGACACATCCCCCTTGTTTTACATCTCAGAAATGATCCTTTAAGTTTCTACAGTTGCATGGAATCATAACCTCACATAGTATTGAGGTTAAAACAGAAAAGTTGTTGGAGAGCGGTCCGCTTCCCCTTCTGTGCCGCGGTTTCCTTGTTTTGTAACCTCCGTGACCTCACATTCAGTGATAGTTCACAGCAAGCGACTGTGGCACGGAGGAGACATGATTGAGACGGAGGGAGACGATATTCGCTGCCAAAATGAAATGGGGATTCAGAATTTGCAAGGCGAATAAATCACTCACACTAGTGTGTCAAGCAAGTTACATATTAATGCTTCTACTGCCTCTAAAAAATATAGTGACTTCACAAGTGTTTAATGTTCACCATACAGAAATTTTGTTGGGCTTTTCTCTTTCGTGAGAATTCTGTCAGTTCCCTACTTACTTCTGTGTGTAGGTCAGAGAGCAGTGTATCTTTGCTCTTGCGGGATTCCATGAGCCATTCATTTCTCTGGTCTGTCTACAATCTTTACCTATGTGAGTGTGCAAATGGCCTTTGTAATATTTGCTTAATGCCAGGAACATGAGTTAAGCAGTTGTACTTCCAAAAAAAGTGAACAAATGAATAATTTCAGGGGGATCCTGGAGACCGCGGGTACCCGGGACCACCAGGTGTTTTGGTAACTCCATCTCCTCCACTCAAAGGTTTGTGTTGCATTCAGTTCTTCCACAATTTTTGCAGGAATAGGGTGACTTGAGTGTCTTAGACAAAAGAGTGTGGCCCATTATTCCTGGTGCTTGCATGCTAAGCAAGTTAATACATGAAATTTAGTGTGAAAATATAATTACACGTGTGTAGGCAGAGATACACATCTTGGCTCATGTCTTGTGGCATACAATATCACATTTTATTTCAGTTTGCAAACTGTGTGCTGTGATTTTTATTATATCTTTCAGAAAATGATATTTTTAATTGCTAAAAAATACATAAGATCATTTTACTAGTATCAACCAAGGTGCTACATCTTACTTAGGATCCTAAATCAGTGACAAATGGAGGTCTTCTCATAGTGTGTGGAGGATAGTATGAGGGGAACTAATCTAAAATAGCCCTTTTAAACTGTGGCAAAAAATACCCTGCAAAAGTCCTGTGATTACATTCTATGAAGCTTCACAAAAAGTCATTGTGTCAAAATATAAAAATGTATACAGCATTTGTTTATTGACACCTGTCATGATCTTTGGCAGGTCCTCCAGGGGATCCGGGATTCCCTGGCCGCCATGGAGAAATGGGAGATATTGGACCACCTGGTCCCCCAGGTCCTTCGGGCCGACCAGGGGAAGCTTGCCCAGGTATGAATCCACTGCAGATTCCCTGCATCGCATCGACTAGGATCCTCCGTGATAGCTGGTACTGAGGTCATCTCAGGAGTGTTTAACAGAGATCAGCGACTGCCCCTCACCCCAATCCCAGCATGCTGACCTCTGCAGTGTGAATGTGGCCTGCACTTCTAATGCACAGCCAGGGTTATGAATAACTGAACTCAAGTCAATCATTTATTAGGAGAGAATTCAGGATGTCAAATTCCATCAGTGGTGCTGTGAGGAATATGGGCATACAGCAGACCTCCCCCAAGACTGCCACCTGCACGGAGGATTTGAAACCATGGCTAGAGTCAGTGTTTCCTCAGTTTCCCTGCCATCTTGGAAGGCTGTCCCTATTGACATCTACTTGTAAAATTCTATTCATCTATCAAGACCCCAATTTAAACCTTGTATGTAAAATGTGCAAAAAAGCCACTATGATTAAAAACTAAGACTTTGATTCAGCCTCACTTCAAAGAAAAGAATTTCCCCTTCCTAAAATAAAAACAAAAATCAAGAGAACTATAGGTCATAGTGAGATTTGACTAAAAGCATGGGAAAGGGTCCTGTTGTCATAAGGGCTATAACTTCTTTGGGTAGCTTATTCCTAGTAAGCTGGGGGATAGAACTTAGAGGACATTTGTGTTCTGTGAACCCAGGAGAACAGATGAAACCCATGAGGAGAAAAAGTCTCCAATAAACGTAATGTTACCCAGCTTATATTTACTGAGGAAGCCTAAGAAGTTTCCTGAGATACTCAGGTGCTAACTACAAAATATTCTTTAGCCTGCAAATCTAGCATTTACTTTGTAGGGTTGGATGACCAGAAAGATAGCACAGGTTTGTGCAGACCTTTACTCTGCACACCATGTTGACTTAATTGACCCAGGACTGTACCAATCGGACAGAATATTCTGCTGATCAGGAAGCACTAGACTCTGGTCTTAGATTTCTCCTTTTGGTATGGTTTATAATAAAATAGTGTCTCCAGCAAGTTGAAATTAAAGCCCAATGGGAGTAAATAAAAAGGGGCTCTAGAAGATTCAAACTCAAGTATATGGAAGGCTTTTAATTCCCTACACCTTTTTAAAATAAATGAACCCAGTGGCTTTCAAATATTGACTATAATCCATAGTAAGAAATGTACTTTATTTTGCCTTCTGTTTATATGATGTTACTAAGTTACATATGTGTAATTCCATGAATTTAAACACAGTTCACAGCATGATACCTTTTTGGTATGGGACATACCTTATTTTCTTTGGAAAAAATTTTAATGCTCACCACAACCTAATGATTTCATGCCCTCATGTTGAGGGCTCAAGGCTGAAATACAGTGTGACCCATTCTCTGTATTGGAAGAGGGTGGAACGTCCTCCCTGGCCATACATCAAAGACAGTGGGAAGCATCTAGGTCATCCAATGACTGATTGTGGAGAATCCCAGTCAGGTCTTGGGAAGAGCAGGAAGCCCACGTGATGGCCAGTACACAGGGATGGGAGGGACACTTTCATTTGTTGTCAGTACACCACAGTATAGAGCCCTGATTAGACATATAATTTTTAAAGTTATCTACATTACCTACTGTGAGATAAGGGTTTTGGTGTCAGATGCTTGTAATCAGAGCTCAGCCTTACCAGGTAGTGGAAGCCACAGAGTACATTGTAGGATAGAACTTTGAACTAGAAACACGCCAATTTCTGCTACTTATAACATTAATCTTAGGCATTGATTAAATATCTTTGTAACTCAGTTTTTTCACTTGTAAAGTGGGCTATTATTAGGGTTGAAAGAAGTTACATGTTACAGTCCTGGTGCATAGTAAAGACTCAGTGCTTTAGCTATTATTTTATAGTATTTCTGATATTTGGTCTCAATTGTCTGTATGTTATCTATAAGTTATAACCTTTGTAGGTTTTTTGGTGGGGAAAAGATAATGTTTTCAAATATATTGAAGCCCCAGCATATATGCATGATAGCAATAGCTATTAACTTAACTTGTACACTACACCATGGCTATTGACAAGGTTTCCATTGTCTGTTGCTGATCAAATTATCCCAAATGTAGTGGATTGAAACAACAACAATTACCATATTAACTTCTCACTCTTTCTGTAGTTGAAGAGTCAGAAAGGGGGGGCTGGGGATTTAGCTCAGTGGCATAAGTGCCTGCCTTGCAAGCAGGCAGTCGTGAGTTCAATCCCTGGTACTGATAAAAACGAAAAAGACAAAAAAAAAAAAAAAAAAAAAAAAGAGTCAGGAAGGACTGACCTGAGCATCTGGCTCCAGAATTTTCCTACAGTCACTGTCACCTAGGGGCAGGAAGGAGAGACGCAGTCCTGGTCCAAAGTCTCTTCCCTGTATGGTTACTTTTCTCATTGCTGAGACAAAATATCTAACTCCCAAAGTTAAAGGAGCAAAGACTCACTAAACTCACAGTTTGCAGAGGTTTCAGTGCATAGTTGGCTGGCTCCAAGACAGGTGGTGTGGCAGGGGGGCATCGTGGAGGAGAAACAGTTCACGATGGGCAGAAGGCAAGAAGGCTGCAAAGCAGTGAAGCAGTAAGGAATTGGCAAGGAGCAGGTGGTACTAGCCGCCGTCTTTCTGCCCGTTACATTCTGCCTACACTAGAGCAGGTGGCAGTGCCTCCCAGGTGGGCCTTCCATTATCTATACTCAGAACTACACCAAACCAATCCATGGGCTGATTTAGTACTCACACACCCTTAATCCCAGCATCACACACTCTAGATCCATTCACCTTTGGAAAGCCCCACCTATGACCGTGAGGCCCTGGGAGATGTCTAGACACAAGCCATAATGCTGTATTTGTCATGAAGTTTAGAGCCTCCCGGTGCGGGTTTTCTATGTATTTAGGCTTCCGTATAGCACTGGAGGCTTTGTAGTAGCACAGTTTTCTACATCGTAGCGTAGGACTCCCAAGTCCCAGGTGTTTCAGCTCACAGGAGCAGTACAGACATATCAAGGTTCTACAAGAACACACAGGGCCAGAGAAACTGTGATGCAACCTTTGAGAAATTCAGTCTTCATGAAGAGACTTTGGAACCAGAGAAGCTTAGGAAGAAGGAGCTAGAAGAAGTGGTCACTTCCATTGGAAGGTCTCCAGCTTTCTTTCAGTCAGTGACAGCAGCAGGAGGAGCTGATGTCAAGGGTAGATTTACCTGCTCTTGTACCATTTTGCATCTCATATGAACGCACACAGCATCTGAAGATTCCCCACGCTCATCTACACTAGATATTGCACTAAGTTTCTTACATGGAATATGTATTTAATCCTCGTAATAAGCCTATAGCCAGGTACAGAAGATTCAAGAGCTAGCTACCCAAAGTCCCATGGCTAGAGGCGGACAGTCCAAATTCTAATGTGGCAATTCTGTGCTTCCCCAGCAACCCACACTGCTATGAAGGGTAGGGGCTTTATGTCCCACATAGACAATTAGGCAGGTCTACATTTTTATCCACTACATGTGCGAATCAGCTTATCCAGATTATTTTAAACAGGCTATTCAGATGGGAAAATTGAAGGAAATAATTTTAATTAAAGAACAGATATTTATCCTATAACCCTAAAAAACAGGCAAGAGATAAGAAAATCTGATTCCTCAAACCTGTTTGCACTTGTGTTTATTTCACAGAAAGCAAGGCATTTTGATAGCTGAGCTATTCATTTATTTTTAAGCTATGTTTTCCTTTTTTATTTGATTTAATGTAGTTTATTCAGGTTATCATGATTTAACTCTTGATTTCTAGCTTAATACGTTTCATGTCAAACCATATTGTTTAAACAATTTTTTTCTACTTCTTTTCAGCACTGTCACTGGTGACAACTTTCTTTTTCAAGAAAGAGTTTTATGGACTGGTGATTTAGCTTAGTAGTTAAGTGCCTTTCTGGCAAGCACAAGGTCATAAGTTTGATCCTCAGTACCAAAGAAAAAAAGAAAGGTTTATTGAGATGTGAGATATCATTAACATAAAGCTTTTCATCTTCTTAATGTATGCAACTTGCCATTCAGATGTAGATACACATTGTGAAATGATTGTCACGTTCCAGCAGATTGATGTATCTCTCACCTCCACACAGTTACCATTTGTGTGTGTGTGACAGAGAGGGAGAGACAGAGAGACAGAGAGAGAGAAAGAGAGAGAATATTAAGATCTAGCCTCTTGGAATTTCCAAGTACGCAGTATACAGTGTTAAATACTGCCCCTTGTTGTGTGTTAGATTCCCCAAATTTACTCAGCTTACATACCTGAGACTTTGTTACCTGTTTTCTCCTTGCTCCTGCCCCTGACAACCATCACTCTGCTCTCTGCTTCTGTGACTTTATTTTATTTAAGAGAGATTGTATTTCTCTTTCTGTCTTTGGGATATGTTGCTGAGTAATGTCTCACAGCCCCACTCATCTTCATTTAAAAAATTCCACAAATCAAGGAAGCATGTACTGATTTTGATTTCTTCTACAGAAATCTCTGTGCGAGAACTCGTGGCTTTCATTCTTGCCTTTTCTTGCAGGCATGGTGGGGCCTCCTGGACCAGCAGGGCCTCCTGGTCCTCCGGGATTTCCGGGGGCAGTGGGTACCCCTGGGAGACCTGACTTTGCCCCAGGAAGACCAGGGCAGCCAGGACCCCCTGGTTTACCCGGAGCACCAGGGCTGCAGGGACCCCCAGGACCGGACGGTAAAGTGCTCCTCACTGGTGTTCGCTAGTGCTTGTGCTGTGTTTTGAGTTCTGCAGAATCATTCATAGTGTATATATTTTTAAACATGTAAAATGGTTGTATAATATTTCATGAGCCAAGGTAGGAATATTAAAATTATTTTACAACTAAATAAGCTGGGGTGGCACATCAAAAACAGATTCAGTTAATCAGGTGGGGATTTAGGAGCGAATGATAAAACTTTGTAAATCAATGTGAGTTTTTTTTTTAGATTTTTTTTTTTATCAATACTAGGGATCGAACTCACAACTGCCCACTTGCAAGACAGGCGCTTATGCCGCTGAGCTAAATCCCCAGCCCCAGTCAATGCGAGTTTTACTTCTTGAACACATTTTTTATTTTTGTCAGGCTATACAGGCCTGGTTTAAAACTCCAACTGTTGTGAAGAGCAGAAATCTCTGGAAGCAATCACTTCTCCTTCCTTCCTCCCCTGAGATGATTATTTCACCACACATAGCTGAATCTTTTATTGTTTTTATTTTTATTTTTTCTTTTATTATTTTTACACTGCCACTCAACATACATTTTTTTCTACTCCTTCATTTTTGAGTGTGGGCATTATATTTTGACTTCCTCTACAGAAAATGAATGTAACTTATTTACCAGCATTCGTACGTTTCCCACCTGCATGATCTATCAGCATAGTTACTGTCGTGGTTTTGGTTATATAAGTATTCAGTGTTTACACAGAATGATTATATAAATGCTGTGCACAGATGGAGCCATATCCTAATACATTTATTACTTTTATAACATGTCATAAATTACTCGGTCTTCTTCGAGTGTTCCTTGGTTTGTGATATAGTTATTACCCTCATCTCAAACCACCTAGAATTATGTTAATCTCAATTATACACTAACTCATTGAATATTCTAGCAGTATTATTTCTCTCTCTCTCTCTCTCTCTCTCTCTCTATCTTTCTTGGTACTGGGGATTGAACTCAGGGCCTTGTGCATGCTAGGCAAACAGTGTACCGCTGAGCTACAATCCCAGCCCAGTATTAGCTCTTTGAATGAATCTTTTCTGGAGCTTTTTGACTTGCTCAAATTAGGTCAAGTTATGTGTGTTTGTGTGTGTGTGTGTGTGTGTGTATGTGTGTGTGTGTGTGTGTTTGAGACAGAGTGTCGCTATGCAGTTTAGACTGGCCTTGAATTCACTTTCTAGTCCAGGCTGGCCTTGAACTTGCAGCAATCCTCCTGTCTCAGCTTCCTGAATGCTGAGTTTACACCTAACTACACTTTTGGTTTGTTGCAAGGGATTATTTTGAAAATTTTCACCCTTATTCTGAAAAAGTATTTTCAATTCTCTTTGTCTCTCTGTCTCTCTTTCTGTTTTCTCTTTCTATCTGTTTCTCTGTTTTGCACAACTCATATTTCTTGAAGTATATTTCCTGAGAAAGGGCATAAATCAGAGAATAAAGTAGAGGAACTTGCTGGTCTCAAAATGACATTCTGCTGCATAATTTAATTGATAATTTGGCTGAATGTAAGATTCTAATTGGAAATCTTTTTCCTTAGGACTTTGAAACATTTTGTATTGTTTTCTTCTTTCCAGTGCTGCTGCTAGAAACTCCAATAACCTTTATATAATTGATAGTTTATTTGAAGCTTACTTTCTTTCTGGAAGCTTGTAGGAGAGAAGCTTTGGTCTCCGTTGCTTTAAATTTCCTAACAGTTTGCCTTTGTGTGGTGTATTCATATTCACTAGCAGGTACTCAGTGGAAAGTTTTAATTCAACGCATCCTTATGTCTGGAAAATTTTCTTCAAGTATTTCTTTGAAGACATTATCTCCTGCCTTTCTCCATTTTTTTCTTACCATGGACTTTATATTGATTTGTTTGTTTAAAAAAAAAAAAACCCTTAGACCAGATGTGGTGGCACATTCCTATAATCTTAAAACTCTGGGAGACTAAAGGATGAAGTCTGCAAGTTCAAGTCTAGCCTGAACAACTTAGTGACTTAGGGAGACCCTGTATCCAATTGAAAAATTTAGAAAGGGCTGAAGACATAGCTCAGTGCAAGAGGCCTGGTTCACACTCCAATATCACACTTGCGTGTGCGCACTCATTAAATGCTCATTTCAAAAACTTTAACTTGATTATTCTTCATCACTTTATTTTTTATAAAAAATATTTGGTAAATTTATTCAACTTTATCTTCCAGCTTGTCTCCTGAAATTTCTATCATAATTAAACTTATGGCTTTTTTTTTCTTAGAATTTTATTGTCGTTTTTTTTTTCTCTTTCTTTTAATGCTTCTTTTTGGTATTTTAATTATACAGTTGGTATAATTAAAATTGTGGTATTTTAATTATACAGTTTTTAAATGTTTTCTTCTTGTGGCATTGTCTGTTTCTTGTACTTTGATGAGACTGGAGTGGGAAAGGCTGGTTAAACTCCTCTTCTTTTGCTATTGACTGCTGTGATTTTGGAGAAAGAATCTTTCTGTCTAAATGACTCCTTCTCAGATCATCCTAAATTTTGACCTCTGTCATTCTTCCACTGATCTAGAGATTTCTGATGTAAATTTGCTTCTTTCTCAGTTTTCTCTGTGCTTGTTTAGACCTCTGCGTTTTTAGGGTTTGCAAAAGCCTTGTACATTTTACTTCCGTTTGCTGTTACACTTGGGCCTTTTCATTTGTCCTGTAGATTTGCGTCTTTTTATAAGATTCTTTAACTGTCTTTTATTCTACAGGGATTTGGAGAGAATGTAGAATTTACTGCTTGCATTTTATCTGTCCTCTTTAACGAGATGTGTTCATAATTTGCAAGCCATGCTTTATGTTTTATTCATGACTTAATCATTGATAATTGAAAAGGAAACAAACATGTTTCTCATATAATGGCTTTTTTTGTTGTTGGTGGTTTGTTTTGCTAGTTTGTTTTTCTTGTCCATTACCTTGTCCTGTTTTCCACTTACTTAGGGCTGGATAGATTAGTCAGCGATTATAGTGGCAGAAATATGCCATGACTATTGCATGGTGTATATGTGTACATTTTTGACAGAGAGAGAGAGTCCTGGGGAACAATGGAACAAAGCATGGGACTGAGCAGGGAGACCTAGGGAAGAAGACTACAAGACTCTTGCCATGTAGGAGACTTTAACAAAGATTCTGTGATTCTCTCCCCACCCATACAGTGATATGCTGTAGTGTTGGGCTCCCTGGACCACAAGGAATAAAGGGCAAAGTGGGCCCCCCAGGAGTAAGAGGCTCAAAAGGAGAAAAAGGCAAGTATGCATCAAAGATGGAATTTCTAGAAGACAGTTGTATTTGGAGGGTGGAGGGCCGTGTGTGCGATGCACTGTGAGGCGTTTCATTCAGAATCAATGCTCACCTTCCTTACTTGTGAGCTGTCTGCTTCGTTATGTGCTGTGATGGGATTAAAGGTCACCAGGAAGTCCTATCCTGGTATCTTAGAATATTAAGGCCATCACATTTGCCCTGCATGATGACTTTGTTCACAAGGTCTCCTTGATTATTTTGCAAGTGGCACATACCAGGCAGTGTTGGTGTATTGTTTCTTTTTTTTCCTCTGTGAGTCCCATATTCCCAGAGTGACAGAATGCTTATGACTCTAGAGTCTCATTCGGAAACTTTTGAGTGACTGAGCCAGGTGCTGTGACAGCATAAGTACAGCCAAGGAGTTGGGCTCTCCTAAAGATGTTTTTCTGAGAAGTCTTGATGATTCAGAAATGTGTTGTGTGAATTGGATATTGTAATATGCAACACAATCATCTCCCCTCGTGTCTTACCTTGTTTCCATGATGATTAGGGGTTAACATCTTAACCAATTTTTTTTTCTTTAGTAGAAACCAAATACAGACTTTTCACATTTTAAAAATAAGAGAACTTTCCTTGTGCAATGACCCATCTACACCCAGGCCTCCCATGATGTTATCAGTTGTTCACGATAAGCATTGTGCCCATTAGATGATTTTTGTGCCCAATTCGCACTCTTGGTTTTGTCCTTCTTGGGAATTGTTTTTCCAGGAAATGTGACAAAACTGATTTTTACCCTTTAGGAAAAGAAGGTGTCTGTGCCTGCGCACCTGGTCCCATGGGTCCCCCTGGCCCTCCAGGGCTACCTGGGAGGCCGGGTGATAAGGGAAATGCAGGGCTCCCAGGCTGGGTTGGAGAAAAAGGTGACCCAGGTCCTCCTGGTGCTGAAGGATCCCCAGGGCAACCGGTGAGTAACTCCTAGCATCTTCTTTACAGTTAAAGAAGACGGAGATAGAGTTCAGTGCACCCTTTTCTAATTCACAGTGTGATATAATCTGAAACTTTAAATATTAATAACAAAAAGTCATTACTAACTTTAAAAAACTCTTACATTCATTCATCAACTAATTATTCAACTAATTGTTATGCATTGAGTGCCTGCTGTGTGGCAGGCCCTATCCTATGTGCTGATATGGGGAAGGGGCAACATGGTCTCTGTCCCCCTGGAGCAGCAGAGATGACACAGACAGGCAAAAGACACAGGCTGTCACCATCCAGTGTGGCAGATGAGATGAAATCAGAAATAGCAGGAGGTTAGGGAGGATTGCAGAGCATAGGGCTTTGCAAGGGGTTAAAGTCTGAGCCTTTACCGGGGGTCCCGTGGAACAGCAGGCATGAACTGTAAGAAGAGAGACCTAGTCTGACTTTCACTTTAAAGGGATCACTTATTCTGCTAGCTCTGTGGAGAACAGAACATAGACGAGTAGCGGAGGGAGGGATTGCAGGGAGACAGTTGAGTGACTCTAGTGAAACAGAGTAGCAGACGGATTGAAGGGGTGCTGCTAGCTAGAGAGGGTTGTGTTCAGATCTAGATATATTTTGAAGACAGAGTCAACAGACTTGTTTGCTGGACTAAACATAGGAGCAGGCTGACCCAGGTTCTAATTCCCCTTTGATGTTGGTGAGCTCTAGGGGCATTTATAATATGGATGTAACAACATTATCTGGCAGGTAGGTGGTTTGTTAAGAAGTTCAGCCCTAAGTCTTGACAGCAGTAAAGTCACAGTAGAAAACAAGACAGCCAGGATTACTGCCCCCAAAGAATCTGAAAGCAAACCGAATGTCACAAACTGTCGTGGGTTAAGTCTAACCCACTGGAATGTTTGGTGTATTTTTATGGTGTTTGTGTTTGTATTACTCGAGGGATTCATGGCTTTCCTTGAGAAACTGGATATTCTCAAATGCAGAATTACTACATTCCCACTATGGCCGTTGGTTTGTCCATCCAGATGGTTATGCATCAGGGGAGTCTTGGTGTTCCCAGTTCCCAGGATACCTCCCCTATTTCTCTGGGAGAGGCACTACCCCAGTTGATATCTGCCATTGAAGTCTGTTCTAGCTACTTTCTCGCTGCTGACACCCACAGGACCGAGGAAGAGAGATTTATTTTAGCTCAGTTTGTAGAGGTTCCAGTCCCTAGTTGGCTGGCTCTAAGGCAGGGCAGCATGGTAGAGGGGGTGGCAGGGGAGGCTTGCTCATGGCATAGCTGTGGGAAGCAATGAGTATTTAAGGAAGCAGGAGGGAGACTTATATATCCACACCCACAGTGACCCACTGAGTCTTCCCATCAGGCTTCACCTCCCAACCCACATGCAGCTATAAACCCAGCAATGGATTTACCCAGTATCACACAGCCATGATCCAGTCACCTCCCAAAGGCACCATCCATGAGCGCATGAGGTTTTGGGGAGCATCTAGATATCAACCATAACAAAGTCCCTGATCTAGACTGTATATTAGAAAACAAATTTCTAATCCTTCTGTACTTGTGTTGTTTTAGCACAAATATTTAGTGATCTTCTGTTACAGAATTGTGAAAAGTAGCTTTTGGTCCTCGAGTTGCTGATAACCAGTCACTTAATACATACAGTAACCTTCCCCAGGAATATCTCAGGTTAAGCATTCATTTAACACCACAAAGGCAAGATGGTTTTGTCAACTATTGTATCTTTAGTACTCAGAGTAACGCTTGCCACTTCATAATTTCAATTTTTTTGTCAAGCTAGGAATTAAACTCAAGCCTTTTATACTGAGCCTCATACACAGCCTTTTTAGTTTTATTTTTGAGATAAGTATTCACTGATTTTTTTTCTTCTGTTGCTCACCAACTTCCCTGAACATTACAGTATTTTCTAGCTTCTTTCATCTCAAACTTATCCTTAAACTCTACCTTCCGTTCTGGTTAACTCACTGTCATCTTTCTTCTCAGTTCTACAATATGAAGCCTAATGAAACTTAAAAAATAACTGCATTTTTATTTGAGACAGTTGAAGACTCACAAGAGGGTGCACAATCATACAGACAGCTCTCCTGTATCTTGTTCCCAGCTTCCCTCAGTGATATCTTACGTAACTACCGCACACTGCTAAAATCAAGAAAGCTATGTATATATCACTACTAACGCAGGCAAAGACCTTATTTAGATTTCACCACTTTTTATGCACATCTCAAAAGCCTCAATTTTGTAAGTCAGGACTGCTTTGGAAGGTGGGATGGAGGATAAGAATGTCACCAAGAGATTTCGGACAAAAGATGAAAGAGAAATCAGATGTACACCAGTACAACTAACTTTGACCCGTTGTCACGTTGTTGAGCTGTTACTCTTATTTTTTACCAAGGGACAATCTGGCCTTCCAGGACCTCCTGGCAACAAAGGAGCCAAAGGTGACATGGTTGTATCAAGAGTTAAAGGTGAGCACAGTCAATCCCTTAGCTCCTTGTCGTTTTGTGAATGATGGATGGGGCATCCTCTTCCAATGATTTCCCCTGTGACCGCAGATCAATTCTATATCATTTAGGATTGTTGAGATTGCTTTAAACAATTTCTGCCCTTATGTTATGAATATCAATATCTTAATCTCCTGTCTTTTACTTGAGAACATAAACACGCATATTCTAACCTGTAGTGAATGCGGGTTTTGGAAGAAAATCTCCTTTAACTTCCTATTGTTCCCTCACTGTGTCTTGTATTAATCAAGAATATTTTAATTAGAAATGACAGCCACCTAGCTGGAAGGAGTTCGAGGGAGACAGTAATTGATTGTGAAATGTGAGATGCAGAGTTTGCACAGGGACACCCAGATGCAGGGGCTGGGGAGGCTCTCTGAGTCTCATCTTTTATTGCCCAGCTGCATTTACTCTTTCCATACTGCCTTTTTCCGGGGTGTGGGCTAGATACCTCCAGGCGCCTCAGCATTCTTATGACCAATGAAGAAAAAAACTCTGCTTTGTCAGCTCCAGTTAGAAAAGTCATTTCAGAAAGGACTGCTTTGCTTCGGGAAAGATCCCACCGATGCCCGTTCCTGTAGTCAGAGTGGCCAGGGATACACTGCCGTGTTTGGCATCACGCAGGCAGAGTGAGATTCTGTGTCTTGCCCCCCACTTCTTTGGGGAAATGGGGAAAGGAGACTTTCCCAAATAAAGAGATTCAAGGGGTTTGGTAGCAGTGGCTTTCTCCTCTGGATTTGGCATGGTTTATGTGATTTCGGGCAACAGAGATGTGCAGAGAAAACTCTGCATCCGTGCACAAAATCATTGCCTTTATCTCTAGTCTTTTCATTTAACCTTCTGCTGATAAAAACTTGAATATCTCTTGACATCTCTTCCCAGGGTACAAAGGAGAAAGAGGACCTGATGGACCCCCTGGGTTATCAGGGCAGCCTGGAGAAAACGGTCAGGATGGACGTGCTGGAGAAAAAGGGGAACCAGGACCCCCAGTATGTATAATTCTCCTGTGTAGAACTTTACTTTCTTAGATGTTTCACCAAAGCTTCTATTTTTTCCTCAGTTTACCAAGATGTGATTCAGTGTTGTATTCAACATAATGTCACAGAAACTGCTCCAAAGGTTTCACTTGGCTACTGAAGGGCAATTATTTTCGTGGTTTTAGGGTAATGAAATGGTGGTTTAGTGTATGTTACCCACGGTGACCTGTCTTTCAGGTTGAAGTAAAAACTCCAGTCTGTCTTACTCCAAATTGTGTGCTGACCCCCCATACTGCTGTCCACATGTGCTGGGAAGCCACAGAGGGTGTTAATAGAGAAGGGTTGCTTTCTGATTTTATAGTAAACCCTTACAGACTAAATACACATGGATAAAAGACAGAGCTTAGAGCCTGAGCTCAATGACGTTTGCATACACCTTTCTGCCCTTTTGGCTTGTGTAAAGTATGTGAATGGTCTGTGCTTCACACTTGGTAATTATTCATCTTTCCACTTAAACTACTTGGAAACCAATGCCACTGAGCACCATTGGCACTAATGTACTCACCTAAATGTGAAAAATGAAATGCGTTTACAGATCAAATCAAAGGAATTTCTACAGCACTCACTTTTCTTAAATACCCACTGGGGCTCTTTCTAAATGCATAGAAAGAATCCAGACCCACAGGGACTCACAGAGTATACTGAGGGCCTGGCCCTTGGAAGGCTGGAGAATGGGAACCCGGCCTTGCTGACAGGGCTGGGCATCCTGCTATGGTGCAGGAATGAGCTCTTGAATGGCAGATAGCTCTAACTACAGAACCTGATGCCCCCCTATAGGAGCTGTATTCTGCACAACACAGCTTGGAAACCTACTGTTCATGGGAACCTCCACCAGAGGAAACCCACAAGGGCATCCAGAGATTTAGAGTTCTTCCAAATGGGATGAAAATCTTATAAGCAGAGTTCCATTTTACTGTCAGCCATGTTGCTCAGGATGGTAGCTGCTGATCCAGTTTTCATCTCATTTCTGGAAGAACAGAGAGCTAGACAGTCCCCCCTAAGGTCAGATTCTCATGCAGAAGTGGAGTGGATTACCCTCAGGCACAGAGGGCGATGGAGTCTATCAATGTACCTTCCCAGAAGAATGAGGGAAAATGATTTGAAATACTTAGAACATACAGGCTCATCACCTCCTGTGGATCGCTTATCTCTGTATTTCATGATATTTGATATTAGAGGTTAATTTTCCATAAAGTTTCTTATTCTATAACATGTACTTTACTTTCTGTATTTGAGGCATACTATACACTCCTACCATGTATATATATATATAAATATGCAAAATACATATGTAAAATATTAGAAGATGCTAACTTATTTTAAGTTACACTTGCTACAGAAGAGCTGTCTCCTGGAGTTATAGACATTTTACATGTGTTTCTATAGCCTGCGATGACTGCTTCTAGTCCAAAGATTGGTAATTGACTCATGACATAAACATTTCCAGGGGGATCATGAAGACGCAGCCCCAGGTGAGAAGGGGTTTCCTGGCCCACCAGGTCCCCCTGGGAAAGCAGGACCAGTGGGGCCTCCGGGACTGGGATTTCCTGGTCCACCAGGAAAGAGAGGTCAACCAGGCATCCCAGGCCGCCCAGGCATGAGGGGCCCTGATGGCTTGAAGGGATCAAAAGGTAATTTTTCATGTTTTTGTGGCAGAATGTCAAAATTAAATCATGAAAGCTAGAGTGAACGTCTTCTAGACAGCGATATTACGGCTGCGGCATCTGGGCTCACTGCAGTTCCATCAAACTGCTGTCCAAACCTTGCACATTGTCAAAAGTATACAAGCTTTATAGCACAGTCGGTATTTAAAACTGATCTTGAGATTCTAAGTTATCTTTGTTCCGTTATTTGCTTGGCATACCAAAATTGCTTTTCATTCATCTTTCAGTATCAACTCTTATAATCTGACTACGTCAAAATTACATATGCATTCAATGTATCTGTTTTTGTAATCTTTTGAGACAATGCAATATCCTTTAATAAAAGAACACTAGTATTTCATTTTCAAAAATATTGTTCATGAAAATTTAGTTGTAAGCATTGTGGGGGAGGGGGAGGAGAATATATGAAATATTCTTGACAATTGTGTGAATTTAAAAGAAATGAAGTAACTTTCAGGATTAGAGCTGAAAGCACCAAAGAAGACAATAAAAAGGTTTACTGAAGTTTTCTTTTGTAATACATACATGTAGCTTGGCCTTATTGCTAATTATGAAATTTTGAAATAAGATGGTATCTTTAGTTGCAACAATTTAAGTGATCTAATGATACTTGGGAGCTTGCGTTTCTTGGAATTCTAGATATACGACATGGAAAAATACCTTGAATGAGTTGTCATTGAGACTCACAGTTGCTATCACTTGTGCAATAACTGATGAAATGCCACTCCTTTTTGCATTCCAGGTGACACCATTTCTTGTAACGTAACCTACCCTGGGAGGCCAGGCCCTCCGGGCTTCGATGGACCTCCAGGTATCCTCACAGAGCACACACCGACTCACACACTTCTCAGACAAAAGAGATGGCAAGGCAAATGTCTTGGTCACTTTCTCAACGCTGAGACCCAATACCTGACACCACAATTTAAAGGAAGAGAGGTTTATTTTGGCCCGGGTTTCAGTAGTCTCAGTCCTTGCCTGCATGGCTGGCCCTAAGAATGGCATGGCAGAGGGCACGGCGGAGAATTACTGCTCATTGCAGAGTCCAGGGAGGAGATCAGAAGGGAGATGTGACCCTCGTGGTCACCTTCACATTGACTGCCTGGTCCAACCACCCCCCACCTCCCAACCACAAGTCAATTCCCCTATAATCCAGTCACCCTCCAAAGGCCCTGCCTGTGACCCTGTGAGGCCTCAGGAGGATGTCTAGATATAAAATTAACAACAGATAAACTAAGCAAATTCTGACAATGAGTAGGGCATTTCTAAAATTATTTCAGGGTTTTGAGGGACTAGGAAACGGAAAACACATTTCTAATGATTACAGTTGAAGCTTTGAGCACAATGCAGACAGGCTTTTCAGATCTTTATGCCTTGATTTACCTTGATTTTGTCATGCATTAGCTAAGTACCTGCTTTTTGAGAATTTTAAAACTGTATCCCCTTTCTCTTCCATCTTGTAAGAGTAAGAGGTTCCCCTCATTGATACGAATTATAAATTTCTTTCCACTCCACATTTTAAGAAGATCAATCTTTGACCAGAACCTGCTGAAAAAGATTCACATGGCTAGGCATGGTCATGCAGGCCTGTGAGATCCTAGCATCCTGGGAGCCCGAGGCAGTAAGATCACAAGTTCAAACCCAACCTGGACAACTTAATGACTTAAGTCTCAAAATAAAAACTAAGAAGTCCTGAGTTGGGGATTACTCAGGCCTTTACCCTGCGCTACAACCCCCCCCCCAAAGCCCACCTATATATGTACATCCCTGATTGAACTTTTATGTCTCTGCTTCATTGAAATCAGTTACTTGTTTTTAGCTGAATTAAACCCAAAATGTATATCAGAATTTTTAAATTATTTCTTAAAAGTTTATTTGTATTGGTTCTTTAAGTACTAGCATGATTATTAAAGGTGATTTCTCGCATATTAAGTCCAAAATTTTATTTAAAGGTTGAATAATGAACAAATCTTGATGACCTTCCTGATTATTTGCTCTCGTCACCATAATGTCATGCAGCAGCCTCCAAATTTCAGTGGCTTATGACAAACATTTATTTGTCTCTTTGGATATGCTAGTTGGTGGGGTTCAACTGATGTAAGATGCTGTCTGCTGAATGGATTCCTGGCCCCAAATTCAGTTCAGGTCTGCAACACACACCCTGTTACAGCACCTGGGGTAGGAGGTGCCCTTCTCATATGATTGCAAAAATTCAAGAGGACAGCATTAGCCTCACAGACTGACTTCAGACCTTGGACTGCATGTGGCCATCAGTATCCCATTAGCCAAATCAAGTCACATGACCAACCCGTGGGTCAAAGGCCAGGAAAGTATTCTCCACCCAGCACAAGGCAATGATGAAAATGCATAAGCATAATTTTGCATCAGTGAAATGAAGAACTAGTGGTTGCCAGGTATGGTGGCTGTGCCCGTAATCCTACTATTCAGGAAGTGAGGCAAGAGGATTGCTGTGAGTTCAAGGCCATCCTGGACTATAATAGTGAGTTCAAGGCCACTCTGAACTACATAGTGAAACCCTGTCTCAAAAAAACAAGGGAAAAAAAGGGACCTAGTGGTTGATGTAACAATCAGTTCCATTTTTAACAGTACCTTAAGCATGAATGGATGAAAAAAATTTGATTACTTTCAGTAGTTTGGGCTTCAAAAGAAGTCAGCATTCACACTTGAAGTTGGCAGTGTTTCCTTGTTTGAAGTCCACAATTAATAAATTATTTTAGTTAAGTCCTAGGAGGAAATAAAAGGCTTAACATAGAATCTCAACTCCTTTTGCAGGAATTTTTGTCCATATTGCATGTGAGATTGGGGGAATAGACCTGGCTTTCTCACCAGCATAGAGCCTGGCCACCACTTGTCTTCTGCAGGACAGAACCAGTGTGGGAAGGTAACACAGGTTCATCTGAATGGTGGTGTGCACACCAGAGGCTTTCAGGAAGATCTTGAGCAGGGCAGTTAAGGAGAAAGTACCTTAGCAAAACACTCAGAGCAGCACATGGCTCATAAAATGCTTTTGTAAACCAGGGAAGGCAGCACCTTTACTTTCATAAAATAGGAATATTCCAAAAGACACTGCATTCACGTAGGCATTTTTAAAATCTCATTTTGTTCCCATTTGGCTTGTGTTTTATTGAATCTGTGTTTTGTTACTATCTAGGTCCGAAGGGATTCCCAGGTCCCCGGGGTGCTCCTGGGCTGAGGTGTTTGGATGGACCAAAAGGCCAACCAGGCCAACCAGGAATACCAGGAATACCAGGCCCACCTGGTAAATAAAGTTTTTCCCAACTTAGGAAATGTCTATCAGAAACTTTTTAAACATTCCTGAAAATGGATGGCTTCAAGGAATGGCTCAGTGTAGAGGCTGATTGCATTTCAAAGAACCTGAACCCCACCTCACCCCGCCATGTCGCCGTCATATTTTATTGGTGGTTTTCAGATGCAAAGTAGCTCACTGTGCTTCTGCCAGCTCAGTTCAGCATGGCGACATTGGATGTCTCCATGCTTTGTGCTCAGGGTAATAATATGTTAGTTCTAAAAATACGAACAGCAGAGGCTGTGTAACCTGCTGGCTGCCAATGCCAAGCTGAAGACAATGATGAAATGGCTTTTCCTGGTACAGGAGACCCTTACTTAGCTGCGTTGTGCAGACTCATAGATGATAATTATGTCAAAGCTCCTTCCATCCTGGAGTGTGTGTAATAGGCTGTCAGTAGTTTACTGTGTGGCTGAAATAGCTCAGTTCAAGTGGAATATTTGCCAGATGGAGAACACAGTTAGGGTAACATCACTGGTATACTGGAAATGCCAAGTTGCAATTTGCCTTCCTACCACAGATGTCAGAAACAACATTGTCTATTAAGTATCTCAGCTTATACATACATACTCCTGCCTGTTTTAGAAATGTGTTTTCATCAAAGGAGCCGTGTTGGTCCTACACTTGTACTAAACTTTTCTGTTGTTAAAACAGGTTTTCGTGGTGATATGGGAGATCCAGGTTTCAGAGGTGAAGATGGGTCCTCCCCTCTAGGACCCCCAGGACCCCCTGGGTCACGTGGAGTAAGTGGTCAGAAAGGAATTCCAGGAGACCCTGCATTTGGTTACCCAGGACCTCCTGGAAATCGGGGTCCTCCAGGAGTACCAGGGATAAAAGGACCCAGAGGTGATCCTGGATGCCCTGGGCCTGAAGGTATGAGGGCTCTGCTTGTCTCTGTAGTCCAGAAAGCCAGCTCAGATTTGGGACAGGTCATAGGAGTGTTTAGACTTTCTGGCTTTAGCTAGAATGTTTTCACGTTTCTCTGGAGCACCTTCACTCATACATAGGCACTGACTACATTTCAAATAGCATCCCCCAGTGTTGCCTTTGCATTTTATTGGTAGTTTTCAAATGCAAGTTATCTCACCGTGGCAATGCCAACTCAGTTCAGTATGGCAACACGGGATGTCTACTTTGAGCTCAGGGTAATATGTTAGCTCCCCAAACACCAAGAGCAGGGACTGTGTAACCTGTCCACTGCCAAAGCTAGGCTGAGGGTATGGGGCAGACTGTATAAGGAATAGCAACCCAGAGGTCAGAGCTGTGTGGCATGGGGTGCAGTTGAGTTCCAGCAGGCAAGCTGTCTATCGACAGGGTAGAGAGACTTTTACTCCACTTGAGGTAACAGGTAGGGCTTGTCTGTCTCTTTCCTAAGAGCCTATGGACCACTATTCATTGGACATCCACTGCAACATATTAGCACATCAGCTCCCTGTGTCAGGGGATTCTGCATCCTCAGAGTCAACCAACTGTGAACCAAAAATTTGGGAAAAACCCTGTAGCTGTAATGATCATCTACAGATACCTTTCTTGACATTATTCCCTAAACAATACCCTGTGTCAATTATTAACATAGCATTTACTTCATATTAGGTGTTATAAATAATACAGACATGATTCACACAAAAGCATTGGTGCAGGTTACATGCAAATACTTCATTTTATGCAAAGGACCTGAATACATGGATTTTGATGTCCTTGAGAGCAGAGTAGGGTGATATAGGACAACAGAATTAAGGGACATATATACACAAAGTGATAGCACTTTTGTTGGTAATGAAAATCATACTGAAAAAGATTACAACAAGTAGAAAACATTTGTAAATTGATATGCATTGTGAAATAACCCAGGAATGGTGCTTTGTGATTGCTATTTTAAGATGTAAACCAGCAAACCAGAATTCAATGAAAACAAAAATAAAATAGATTTCTAGGTCAGGGTGTGAAATTAAGGAGGATTTAGTTTTCTTCCTGAAGCTTACGATGCTGTTTCCAATAGATGGAAATTTGAGCGTACAAGTGATAAAATCTCTTACAAAATGCAAATTCATACAGCGCAAATTGGGTTTATATCATAGCAATTTGGTGCAAAGCCTGCTGCAGAGGTGGAAGTTAATTAGAATCAGGAAGATCTGTGTGGTTTCTTATTTGCTTAAGTAACTTCTTTGTTATCAGTATAACTTTATCAAGCAACTCACTTAGCAATGCATAGATTTTCTATTCCTTTGGAGCTTACTATATCTACGGTAGGAAAATTCATCCATTGAGGAATTTAGTTCATTTGAGCCCTGATTCATGATCAAAAGGTTTCCTTTTGTTATTAAGGATGCACAGATCATTACAGGCCATCTATGTGGTTTTAAATCATGAATGCCATAGATGCACTGTATCATTACAGGGGCAGCTGGCATTCCTGGACTGTCAGGCCTTCAAGGTCCCAAAGGCAGAGAGGGAAGTGCTGGATTTCCAGGTATCCCAGGATCACCCGGCTATTCCTGTAGAAGAGGCGCTCCAGGGATCCCAGGCCAACCTGGAGCCCCTGGAGCTCCAGGTAGTCCAGGTAAGTGTCAGGAACCTGAAGGGTCTTGTAAGTTATGCTGCTTATAAATGAATACACTTTGTCTTGCCCTTCTGTGGAGTTTGGCAGAAGCCTGAGATCCAAGTCAGAGACAAAGAGCTTATTACTCATGGGTTTCATGTTGGTTTAAATGTCATTAGCCCATGCCACCCAAGTGCCATGAGGGCAATATCAAGTGAGGACAGCTACCTGCTGCATACATCATGGGCTGCAGTTCGACCGGGGTGCTGAATCTAGGAACCAGTGCTTCAGAGCAGCCCGCAAGCAAACCTGTTGTACACTGGAGAATGTGCTGTGTCTTCCGTCAAGGTTGCTTACTGCAAACACAACCTTGAGAAATAGCCCAGGGAAAAAAAAGCATCTCATGTTTACAGTCTTGACACAGCCAGCCAGGCATGAAAGAGTGACCTGTAGAGGACCGTCCCACAACACAAGGTGCTAAGGGGTTGTTTGAGTTCACTGGGGCCCAGTGGTGGTTTACCTCTGACTTGGTCATTTACAGACAGCAAAGTTGTTGCTTACAGCTTGGAGGTTAGGAAGCCCAAGAGCAGGGCACCAGTTGGTTGCTGTTTGTGTGGGGCTATGCCTCACAAATGGCACCTCCTTCATCTCCTTCGATGGCAGAGCAGTGAACGGTTCCCTCACATCTCTGCCATAGGGTCACGAATACCGTTCAGGAAGACTCTACCCTCACCAGCCATAAGCTCCTAAATTCTCATCTTCTTAACACTGTCTATCTCCTTACCACTGTCAGTATGTAAACTTTGGGGCGAGACATTCAGACCTTAGCCAGGCTGCTGCCAGTACAGTCTTCATTTCATTATGCAGATGCTTAACTCAGTTATTTAAGTTGCTATTGCTTTTATCCAATTCCAAGAATGTGCTGACTTCCAAAATCAAGACAAGGTCAGGGCAAAACTTGCCACAACAGCTTCATTTTTAGCATGTCCAGTTGTTACTGTTACTGTTGTGTAGCTAATAAGTGTTGTGTTGGTTTGGTTGAATGTGCCCTAGACACAGGAGTTGAGCTTCTGTGAGTTTGTTTTTCCCACCTTAGTGAAACTAGTTTTTGTCCTTGATACCTCACTGTCACTGTTTGTCTCAGGTGGCCCAGGTAGGAAAGGACAGCAGGGAGATGTGGGGTCTCCTGGACCAGCTGGAATGAAGGGCCTCCCTGGACCCCCAGGGCTGCCGGGGGTAGATGGACTCCCAGGATCTTCAGGAATCCCAGGGCCCTTTGGAGTAGATGGGCTACCTGGTCATCCAGGTCCAAAGGGTAAGTAACATTTTTCTTTTATGTCTTCTTATTCTGTAAACTTGAAACCCATAGTCAAGTGAAGCAGGCTGTGTACCAGCATGCTAATTGAACTTACTGTTGTGTTGGTTACTTTTCTCTCGTTGCTGAGACAAAATACCTGACATCCAAAATTAAGGAAGGAAAAGGTTAATTAAGTTCACAGTTTCCATAATCAGCTTATTCCAAGGTGGGGTGGGATGGCAGAGGGGCAGCAGTTCATGGCAGTGGAAGACAGCAAAAGCAACAAGAACAGAAAGGGAGGAACACCAGAAAAGACTGTCTCTGTTCCTTATTTGTATATAGGCTCCCCACCCTAGGGTGGATGTAGCACTCACACCCACAATCTCAGCATTGGGCCATGCATCAGTCACAACTCTAGAAGGTTGCCGTCATGACTGCATGAGGCTTTTGGGAAGATCTAGACATAAACTATAACACTGTTCTGTTAGCATGCCTTTGTCCTTCCCTTAATGATGTCGCCTTTCTTCTGTCCTGTCTTGCAGTTTTCAGCAGAAGAATAGATTGGTATAGATCAGTAGAAGAAGGGAGCTGGACGTGTTGCATCTGCAGGATCCTTAAGCCCTTGAACTTAGGAGGACTAGGCAGGAACAGGGAGGTCCTAGGGTCAGGGCAAAGCGTCCACTCTGATAGCCGTCAGCCTCTTCCATCCTCTGGTCCTCTGAACCAGATGGGATCAGCACCTAGGAACATCAGGCTGCGTGTCAGGTCTGCAGGGTGGGAAAAAGTGAGACTGCACAGCTGTTAGGCGGTGAGCTTGACTTCTGTTTGCTTTCTGTGCAAACACAGAGAGAGGTGAGAGTTTCCATTTCTTAATGGACTAAAGAAACGTAGATGTAAGACTCGCACCAACCTTTAAAACGGTTTTCCAGAAACTTCTGCTCTCATTTCCTCAGGACCTCAGGGGCCACTTGGTCTCCCAGGATTTCCTGGAGAGAGAGGAAAGCCTGGCCCAGAGGGCCGACTCGGCAGAAAGGGAGAAATCGGAGAGAAGGGCTGGCCTGGCTTTCAGGGCCACCCAGGAGCACGAGGTGCCAAAGGTAAGCACGTTGGCATCACTGCAAGGCAGCACACGTTTTGCTTGATCCAAACCCCTTCTGTGGTGGCTGACTGTAATCCCAGCACCTTAGGAGGTTGAGACAGGAGGATCAAATGCGTGAGTCTAGCCTGGGCAACTTGGCAACTTAATGAGACTCTGTCTCAAAGAAAAATATATAAAAAGGGCTGAGGATGTAGCTCAGTGCAAAGCCCTGAGTTACCATAAAAAAAGAAAAAAGTTTTCCAATAAAATCACATTTATAAATGCATATCAGTTTCACAAATATGTATACTTTTCACAAAGTATTATTTTGCATTTTATGTTTTGAGTCTCCCCCCGCCAACCATGCAGAAGTGTAGAAACCATTCATAGCTCTCAGATTATACCAAAACTGGCACCTTGGAGGATGTGGTATGTGGGCTGAAGTTTTAGGATTCCTGAACCAAAGTGAGACCTCTTTCATCTGGGCCATGAGTTGCACTGCTCCTAAGCTTCATTTAAAATTTTTTTCTTCGTTATGATAAATATTAGTTTCAGGATCACTAATTTAAATGTCTCATGCATCCCTGTTAAATGTTAGCTTTTACCTCTTACCCCTAAGGCTGCAGTAAGCATACTTTGTGTTTCCAGTGTTGAGCAGAATGTTTGATAAGTTTTAGAAACAAGGTTTTTCCCTTAAAGCTATTTGGGCAAATAGCCTCATATTTGATGCAAATTACCTTTTCTTCTTAGTTGACTGATTCTCTTATTATTTTGTGTATTATTAGTCTGTAAATTATTAACATAGAATCAAGGGATTAGAGTCACTTTGCGATCACGGATAAGTGATGTTTGCTGTGTTATTCTGTCCCTTTACAATGATCTCACTACAAATTTAAAAATGGATTAATTCCGGTGGTACAGTCATAAACTAGTTCTCTGGATTTTAAATAAGATCCCTGGTTTGCACTGTTCATCACCTGTGATGGTGTAAGTTCTCATACTCCAGCATAAAAATCTCTTATGGCTGATTTAACTACCCACGGGTTAACTGGTGGCTCACAGAATTCTCAATCATGAATAATTAAGTTTTACCACACTGGAACCCCAGACCCTCCAGCACACTACTGCAACTGGACCATGTCTACAAGATCAGGCAGAAGTATGGTGCTCATTTCCTAGGTTGGGAGATCTCTCCATGGGGAACTGCACTGAAATATGTGTCTGTTCTTATAACCTAAGAAAGATTTTTTAAAAAAGCGTGGTGAGGAAAGGGAAGAGATGGAATTAAAAACCTGAGATGGGAAACTTAGATTTTGCAGGACAGGCAGATTTATGGACCAGAACTGTTCAAACCTGTCTTAACTCACTGAACACACTGAGTCCTATTTGATTGAATTTAGTAAAGGCTACCAAAGCTATCACAGTATCCCAGGTGATGGGGGACAGGTACAACCCTTCCTGCAGGATGCTGGTCAGACATGTGGATGCCGGGTAATCTGAATCTGCAGCCTGAATAGTTTGATGACTTAGATGGGGATTTGTACACGGGGGGTCAGTGTGATAACAGATGAGTTGTGTGTGTGTTTTTTTTCTCATAATTAATATCCACAGGAGACAGGGGACCTTCTGGAGATGAGGGAGAAATGGCTATCATTTCCGAGAGAGGGGAAAACGGAGAAACTGGGCCTCCTGGAGACAGTGGGTTCATAGGAGAGAGAGGTAAATGCTGAAGCTTTTTAACCTTTTATAGATCATTCAAGCATGTGCATTATGCAGCTACTTACTAATGCACAGATTAGAGTTCATTTCTTAGTTATAATTACACACTGATAAGCCAGGGAGTACACTTTTTTTTTTGCTTTTTCATGCTAAAATTTAGCTGAAGTTCCTAAGTATTTATAGATTTGGGTGTTCTAAACTAGAATCAACCCGAGATATACATGGAATATGTTGAATATTGGTTCAGGTTTAAAACACCTCAGTGTTGGGTGGCTGGTATTAAAATCAATAGCACACAGACTGTGATTCTGACCAGTGTCTCTCAGACTTCAGTGTACATATGAATCAGCTGGGATTTGTTAAAATACAGATTCCAAATCCTTTTGGGGTCCAGGTGTCCCCATGCTGCGCTGCTGGCCCTCAGAAAAAATTGGATAGCAAACATTTTGGCAACCACGTTTATATTCTCTCCCAAATTTAGGCTTAATCCCCATGTGGCCTGGCTTCTTGCCTTGCTTTTTTCTTTCACTGGTGGTTACAGGGAATGAGTTTTAACTCTTCTGGGTAAGTTGTTGCTCACTGGAGAATAAGCATGCCGGAGCGAAGGCCCCCATATGCTTCCTCCTTTCTCCGCTAGTCTGTTCCTGGGCAGCTGCTTTCATCATGAGGTCACTGAAGCCAGAAACTTTCAACATGTGGCTTAGGGAGGAACTAGGATTCCCAGCTCTTTTGGCTGTGTCTTCTAAAAGCATTAAGTCTTTAGTGTAACTTTTGCCTAGCCCAGGATTCCAGCCTAGAGGTTTGTAATACTTCTGCCTTTATCAGGTGACAGAGGAGCTCCTGGCCCACCAGGGAGAAGAGGAGAGCCGGGGAGATATGGGCCACCTGGATTTCAGAGAGGGGAGCCTGGCAGAAATGGGCAGCGTGGGCTTCCTGGACCCCCTGGCCCTCCAGGTTCACCTGGGCTAAGAGGGATCATTGGTTTCCCAGGATTTCCAGGTGACCAGGTAAGGGGCTATTCCTCCATGAGGGGGTAAATAATAAAACCTCCCTGGTTTTAGGATCCCAAAAGAAATCATCATTTACTAGGGTGGATCAGGGTGCCTCCCTAGCTCTTGGAAGATAGGAGACCACAGGGAAGGTGGCGCCCTCTAGAGGGCCAGAATATGGCCAGTGCTTTAATGAACATGATGAGCAAGTTGCATAATTCACATGGTATCCATCCAGTCTGGTTTATGACTTGCTGTGTGATTGCTGGTTTTCTGGAGTAAAATGTTATGCTGAAATCCCACCTAGACCCTGGTTCTCAACCCCCCATGTTACGAAGATATTGTAGACTTTGATTTCAATGTAGTTGCTCTTTAGAATCAGGAGTAACTTGCCCTGGAGAAGCCAGATAGTGTAATAAACATAGTAACCCACACCCTACTTCTGAAAATGTAATTCGCTCTCCATCTTTTGGAAAAACGGCACAGTGATGCATACCTATATTCCCCGCGCTCAGGAAACTGAGGCATCTGTGAGTTCAAGGCCAGCCTGGGCTACATAGTGAGGTCAAGGCCAACATGAAATGCAACCCCCCCAAAGTTTATAATATAATATGACTTTTATAATATTTTATTTACTATTAACTGTTCAATCAAAATTTAAAATTAAATTTATATAATACACCTACCGTTTATCAACCGTGTTCACAGGATGAAATGCTACTGTTGATTTAGATAGCGGTAATACTAGAACATTACCAGTTTTTGAAAACTAGACACATGTAAACCAGGTGTCATAGCACATACCTGTGACCCCGGCACTAGAGAGGTTGGGCAGGAAGATGATGACTCTGTGGGCAGTTTGGACTGCATGGGGAGACTTGTCTCAAAAACAAGCAAACTAGACACGTGCAGTAGATTACCTGCAATACGTTTCCAGGTTTCTTGGTTAAAAAGAAAAATTACCATTGAGAAAACCAAGTAGGTTGCAGAAAAGTATAATTGGGTCGCGTCATGCATGCGTCATTTGAAGTAGAAGCACAATTGAGGTCTCACTTTTGTTTTATTAAATTATCAGGGTGAGCCGGGTTCTCCAGGGCCGCCTGGAGTTTCAGGAACTGATGGAACAAAAGGACCTAAAGGTATGGTTTGCAAAAACAGCAGAAATCTGTCTCAAACCCACACTCCTGGATGTTTGTTAACAATGTGAGTGAGCTCCTTTTTGTAGGATTAACACTCAAGAGGCTCTTGGGCTCTGCTCCACAACACTTAAGACCCAGAGGACTCTCCTTTGTTGGTCAAATCCATGAGTGTTAGGTAGGGAGCAGCAAGCCTGCAGCCCTAAGAAGTCTCTTCCTAGGTGGGAGTCCCAACTGCCATGCACCTAGCAACCACAGCCTCTCTAGTGACAGCTCAGATGCAAAGGGTCTAGAGCCACACCCGTGGGCAGTGTCCACCTTGGCTTAGAACTGCCATGGCTCACAGGAATCATGCCTCCTTTGAAGACTTTGTGAATTCAGCTGTTAGGGTCTCAGTTATTAGACACAAAGGCCAAACCATACCCTTCCAACAGATGTTGAGTCTACTTGGGAATTCCAAAGCCAATTTTATAATTGAATTATTTTTATCTTAAGCCAAGGGACAATAATTTCTCTTTCCCCACCCCTAGAACTAGATAAAAATTTCACCTTTGTGTGACTTACAGCCTCACAAGTACTCCACTGTACTGTTGTGATGTGAAAGCAGCCCTATGCAGTATGTAAACAAAGGGATGTGACTGTGTCCCAATAAAACTTTATTTACACAATAAGCTGAATTTGGCCCCACAGGCCTTAGTTTTATCTTGTGCCAAAAACAATGTTGTCTTGTAAACACAACTGACATTCTACCTTTATCAGGCTTTCAGGGAAACTGAAATAGAAAATTTTCCCCAGGTAAAAAATATCCTTGGAGAAAAAGAATGGTTCCATTAACCCTTTAACCAGACAAAGAAATAAGCAAATCTGAATATATTAAGCCTTAACCTCACTCTCCATGAATACACAAGTTTGATGCACAATTAAACATTATTTTAAAGTCCAGACGTACGGTGCCTGCCTGGCAAGTGTGAGGTTGTGAGTTTGGTCTCCAATACCAAAAAAGAAAAAAAATCATTATATAATGCAAGTTAAAATACATAACTTTAAAGTATAAATTATTAAACTGCCCAAATCCTCTTCCTATAAATGATACGTGCTTTTTGAGAGACACTCTATAAATAATGATAATTGCATAAGAAAACTATTTTAAGAAACAGATATAATATCTATTAGCAGGTATAGGGTAGATCACTTTTTCAGGGAGGATTATAAAGAGGGAGTTTCTCCTATTTGAAGTTGATATCTTAGCACTCACTCCTCTTCTGTCTTTCTGAGGTTATTACATTCTCTTTACCTCCTAGCATGCTTTAAAGATACCCATTCCCCTTTCCTTCCTACTTGTATTGGGCCAGCTTTGTAAGGGGTTAAAATGCGCTCAAGGTACCTGGATTAAAAGGGATCCCATGGAACCTACTGCCAGGAAAGCAAACCCCACCAGGGTGCAAGGCCAGCGGGACCTGCTCCTTAAGCAGCCCATGGTTTCTTGCTTCTCTCTAGTGTCTGTTTCTTACTTGCTTGTCTAACTGGCTTTATAACTCTCTACTTAGTATTTTTTCTGGGTATGTTTGAATTGTATTCCAACAGCTTCTAAATCAGAGCAACTCATGATGAGTCTTATGGTCTCTGTACCCATAGTCAAAGAGCTCAAATTCTCATTTTTAAAATTCTAACTTCGCGGTGATGCATAAATATGAATAGGGTCAAATAGAGTGGTTATTTCTTTAAGGCATGAGTAGGACCTTTGCAAGACAGTGTTAGTGGGCAGGTTATAAATCATGATTTATACAATTTATACAACCCAAACATACCCAAATTCTCTTAGAAAACCATCTATTGTCTTGCCCTCCTACCACTCCAATTTGTGTCCTTTATGTGTAATTGGCTCTCGTCTTTGGATCTGGAAACACGTATAGCATTGTTGAGAAGCTTTGCGGGACTTGTTTGTCAGGGTCTGTGGCAGCCTTGAATGTGTGCCTCTTGTCGTGTCTTCAATAACGCATGGCCCCGTGCTATTTTTTTTTTTATAATGACATTGAGTTGGCCTTCCTTATGAGAGTGTGAAATGGATTGCAGTGGCTGAAACAGTGACAATTTCTACATGTTCTCTAAAGATAATATAGACTCATTCAATGCCAAGTACTGATGAATGGTCTCCCAGAGCCCAAAAAGGGGGTGCAAATTTGTAGTTTTCAGTATTAGTCAGGACTCAAGTTTACCTTCCAGTACTAAAGGAAGGAATCTTCCTTTAAAAGAAAACTAAGTTTGAAAAAATACTTTTAGGAACTTAGAAACTCAGACATCAATATCTATAATTCCTTATGATTGTTATGAACTAGAAAATCATAAAGCATGCATGTGTGTGTGTGCCTGTGTGTGTGTGGTGTTTACATCATATCTTGCATCTGCGTTTCCATTTGTTCTTATTTAGGAAAAAGCTTTGTTGTTTTTTAAATTATCTACCAAAAGTTATTTGAAAATAACGTCTAGAGACAAATATCCAAAAACCTATAATTCATGGATATAAGACCAAATTAAATTTTTGCAAATAATGTTACATGGATTTTTTTTCACTTACAGGAATCAAAGGTGATGCTGCTAGTGAGTTTGGTCCACCTGGTCCGAAGGGTGAGCCTGGTAGCCCTGGATGTCCAGGTATGTGTGTTTTGCTTACAAAAACAAAGGAGTTTAGTTCAAAAAGTAAAACAATTAGCTGTGTGCGTCTGGTAGGCAATGATTGTATCGGTATTTTCTTTCCCCTTTGTCTACTAAGACACACATCAAAAGGATTATGTGGAAAGCTGCCCTGGCCCTCTTGTCCCAGAAGAACAAGAGTGTCAGACCCTCGCCATCCCAGTCTTTCCCCATGGTGGCTCACATGACCAGTGGCACTGACACCAAGCAGTCCTTCGAGCATCCCCATACTATCAGAGTCAAAAGCAAATATTGCAAGCAGTTAAGATTGCTTGACTTTTACAGTTTCGTGAAAGTGAGAGATACTTTGCAGGCCCCATCATTTAGAGTAGCTGCAGGTTTTCCTGGAACCTTTCTCTGCCACCGAGAGCAGCGCCTGAGAGCACAAGTGAGCCCACCCTTGTGGGCCTGTCACACATGTGCTGTAAATTACTAAAAATCAGACCAGACCCAGCAGAAAACCTCACTCACCATCACTAACAAGAAATCCCAGTCATTTCAAAACGATGATATTTTGTTTTTCACTAGCAATTGACATGGATTCCTTCCCTCCAAAGGAATCTTGATGTGCTGGTGAGTTCTTGCCTCTCACGTCCTGCCAGCCTCCTACAGTGACCCCCAGCAGAAGAGACCTGAGATGCTTTGCGATGCTGCACACGTCCCAGGGAAAGGGAGGTCACTCAAGGTCGAGTGACACCTCTAGAGGGCAAAAGCGTCTTAGGATGCTTCATGGAACTATTTCGGACTCAAGTTTACCTTCCAGAAAATACTGAAAAATACAAATTTGCACTCCCTTTTTGGGCCCTGGGGGACCATTTATCAGTACTTAAAATATGCAGGCCTTCTCACTTGGAAACCCTACTCCAGGGAATTTATCTAAAGTCAGTAATTGGACAAGTGTACAAAGGTGAATGGATAGAACAGATGTCCACCCATAGAAGATGCCCGAGAGCAGTCAGCTGACTGTGGTCCTATTAGAAACGAGTTTTATATTTACATAGACCCCTTGGAAATTAAAAGACCTCCTATTAATAATTTCATACTTTACCTTTAAGTTCCCTCTGGCAGTAGCTAAGTTTAATTTCATGTGATGGAAAGAAGATACAAACAGAACTATTATGGGACATTTTATTTTCTCTGTTGTTTTACCAGAAACCATTAAAATGGATGTCTAGCAGAAAAGCAAGCTGCTATAGTGGAAAGGTGGCATGTGTTCTTTCACAGGGACGCATGTATTTAGAGAATAGAACATTTTATTTGAAACTTAGAACTCAAATGTGCAGTGAGTAAGGAAAATAGTTTGGGGGTCAGCATTAAGGGGGTTCACGATAAACACCAGAAAGGCGAAGACAGCGGTTGGAAATCGACCTACATTAATACTGTGTGTGTAAGACTGGGGATTTAGCTCAACGGCATAAGCGCCTGCCTTGCAAGCAGGCAGTCATGAGTTCGATCCCTGGTAACGGTAAAAAGGAAAAAGACAAAAAAAATACTGTGTGTGTGGTCTTTGGTGAGCCGATTATCTTCTCTGGGCTCAGGTTTTCTCTCCTAGAAATTGGCCCTGTGTGTAGGAAAGAACTGATTGAAGAACAAATGCAATACCTTGAAATACATTTGCAAACTAAAAATTACTATACAAATATCAAGTACAGTCATGATCGTGATGAAGTCAACATTTGGAGATTTGTCCACACTCGCTGGTATTTTTATTGTAAACCCTGAAGATATAAAAGAGAAGTCTACAGTAGGAGCCGACACTTGGGGTTATAAGCATGGAGTTTGCGAGAGTGATGAGGAGGAGGGTGTAACTGGGTGCTTACGTACTGTACCCCAGTCCGCAGGCAGCTCAGCAAGAGCCAAGTGCCGAGCTGGGCGTGGTGGCACTGGCTTGTAACGCTCACATCCTGGGAGGCTGAGGCAGAGGGTTTCAAGTTCCAGTCCAGCCCAGGCAAATTAACAACTTAGCAAGATCCTGTCTCAGAATTAAAAAATTCTGAGGGTAGCACAGTTCAGAGGCCCTGGGTTTAATCTGAGTACCACAAAAACAAACAAAAAAGGCTGAATGGATTACGCTGGAGCAGCACTGTATTCTCTTCAGGATGTCACTGTCATGAGCGAGGGATTATTTTAGATTTTTTTTTTAATTCTCTGACACAGTCAGAAGATGTGATGTGTGACTCTGGCATGAGCTTGGTGTGGACAAACCAGCTATGAAAGGTGTTACGGGGATACTGCAAGATACTTAAGTATAGAACGAGCGTGAGATGATATTAGGGATTATGTTTAATTGTTTAGCTGCAATGTTATTTTGGCTACATAGGAAAATGTTTTTTATTTTTCAGGCTTACATCCTAGAGTATTTAGGAATGGAATTCCATAATGGCTGGGACTTACTTTAAAATAGTTCAGCATTTAAAACTGTATTTTAAAAGAACTGAAATATCACATGATTTACTGAAAAATTCTTCTTTTAGAATTTTTTTCTAGGGAAATAACTTAGTAGGTGAAAAATATTGATTAAAAATATATAGATAAAAATCAGCTAAGCATGGGGGTGCCTGCCTGTATTCCCAGCTCTCAGGAGGCTGAGGCAGAAGCATCACCATGAGTTTGAGGCTAGTCTAGGCTAGCAAGACTTTGTCTCAACAAACAAAAAAACTAAACAAAAACTACATATATAATAATATAGTCTTCCATATATAGTTATATATTATATATGTAATTTTGCATAATACCAAAGAAAAAAGTTGAATGACCAATAATAGGAAAGAAGTAGATTAAGTAATTTAATTAATATTAAATCTGCAAGCCGTTAGCCAGTTATTTGAAAACAACAATTGGGAAAACTAAGACAGAAGACAGACTTAGAAAGTTACTTATGACACTTAAATTTGCAGAATATAAAATTGTGGGTGTTATTTTCACACGTGTGTAGACGGGAAAATCGTGTTGCAGTGGCAGGAGCATAGACATTCTGTTTCCAGTTTTCTAATGTTAGCTTCCTTTTCAGTGAAACAGAGCGCTGCGGTTGGCTGTTTTGCAAGTTTACGGTCTCAAATGGCAATGCTCAACTTTGAGTTTTGCTTTTTTAGGTCATTTTGGAGTCCCTGGAGAACAGGGCTTGCCTGGAGCTCAAGGGCTGCAAGGACCCCCCGGATGGCCAGGACTGCCTGGCTACATTGGGCCACCAGGGTGTCCAGGTACCTTGGGAACTTCCGGAGCACTCAGGAATCTCTTCCTGTGTCATGAAGAGCTAGTCTTCTCTTAGACTTAGGTGGAGACAGGAGCCATTTCCAGACCTATGCCTGTGGGCACGTTCCCTCTTCTTCACCCATAAAGCTGGCCCTATCTCACAGGGTTATACTAATTACTAGGCGGAGAGAAGGCCATGTCTGAAAAGAGCTGACAGGACACCTGGCACCAAGGTGGTCTGACAATAAGAGTACTTTTCAAGCCCTCCATGTCACTTGCCATTGGTGACAGTGATATTCTCCTACCCCTTCTTCTTGCTTTGGACCTAAGGCAAATGTCACCAAAGGCAAATGTCTAATGACTCCTCTCCTACCAATTCAGAAAAAAAAAAAAAAGAAAGAAAGAAAGAAAGAAAAGAAAAAAGAAAATTTAACATCATAATTGGCAACTTTAATTATTCAGTATTGCATTTTTCCTTCTGAAGTTAAGTGTACTTTTCTCCTTAGTATTAAGAAATTTAAGAAGAAAATACAGCAAAATGATATCCCCAGTTACCCATGAATTAAGACCATAGATGGCTTTTTCAGCAGCTGTCACTCATGCATCACTAGGTGTCTGTAGAATTTCCCTGCTGTCCACAGGTGATCAGGGGATGCCTGGGCCGAGGGGCCATCCAGGAGAAACCGGGGATCCGGGGCCTAGCGGTCTGCCTGGGGACCGAGGGCTGCCAGGCGCTCCAGGAATGAAAGGTAAGTTTCAAGGCTCATGGCCACTCAGACAGATCCAGTGTGTAGCCCAGTGTGTGGCCTTCTTTGTGACCACACAGGTGACTCAGCTCTAGGCCATGCCTGTGTCTCAAGGACCAATGAACATCTTCCTCCCCTCCTCACCCCAGGGCCCGAAGCAGGCCGTGCTGTCACCTGTCACCTCCAGGGAAGGGCCAGGAGGTGACATTTCCCTCTCATTCTGGAAACGTTATAACTAATGGTTTTCTTGATGTTCAGTTCTGTCCATTTATTTTCTCCACAAACAGATATGCTCCTGTGACATCCCAGATTCTGTGTTAGATGCTGGGTGCAAAATTTGAAGGAAATAGCCATAATTTCCTTCATGGAACAGACTGGCTAATAGAAAAGACAGACATTAAAAATGTATGTGTAATAAATACACATTCAGCAATTAGGATCAGTGGAAGAAAGAGAGTAAAGTGGTATTAGGATGAGTACTTAGGATGTGCTGAAGGATGAATACATTGTCTTTGTTAAATAAAGAAACATTTTTTCTGGTTGAATTTTGGCCTTTGGTTATAAGTGTGGATATAAAATAACAGGGAATGATAAGATATATTTGTCATTAAGAAAGTTATCACACTCTCTCCCTCATCCATGACATTTAACTCTAATCTATATTCTCTTATTTTAGAAAAAATACTTTCTCCTTGGGTAGTTTTTGCCTTAGCATAACACCTATGTTGTATCAGTTTTGTTTGCCTACAGGAGTTTCTTACCAAGTAGAATGTGTGTGTTTTTTTTTAAAGCAAAGGGAACAACTTAGTAGACACCCAACAAATATTTTGGTTAGCAGTGTGAGTAGATAAATGGACAGACAGAGGGACATACAGTTGAGTTAGTAGCTATGCGTGATTAGCCAACAGCTGACAGTTCGGGCTTCCTTCTCTTGTAACCAAGCTGTCTTGGTCTGTTTTCTCTCTTTTCTCCATCTGGCTTCTGCTCTAAGTTTTATACAGCTATTAAATGTTGATAAAATGAAATTCAAAAGACTTGGAAGCCATTTCTGAGATAAAATCATTTTATTGTTTCAGCAACCCAAATTCTAGATTTCCTCCCATTCTCCTTTTTCAGTCACGAGATAGCTTTAAAATAATTCTAGTTTCTCAGCCTGCTATGGTGTTGTGGGCGATCTTTGGTACACCACTGTGAGAGGGAGAAGCCATTCATTTTGAAGAATCAGTAGACAGACAAGATGGCTTGATGCTGGCTTCTGTCTTTATTGACATTTTCAGTGATGCAAAGTCCAGACATTGGTGATGAATTTAGGGTTTCAAACAAAAATAATCACTCTGTTTTTTTTTTTATTTAAGGAGAAAAAGGGAAAAAACAGAAAAAGAGTACAAGTAATACAAAATTTTAAAAATAAACAGTAAGAAATCACTAGTTAATAGATTACATATTCTCATCTTAGAAATAGTTGTTCAAGTTACAAAATTGAAGCATATAAAGTGGACTTTCAGTGAGAGTGCAAACAGTTTTGTTCAATGATCCAAAAAAACTCAGTAATATGGTTATCTATCTTATACACTTAAACATATATGCAGTTATAACCTTTAGAGCACTTTCTTTTCTTTTGTACAATGACAATTACACATTTTGGGTTTTATTACTCCCACAGTTCTTATTACTTTTTTTGAAGAGAGTAAAACCAAATGCGACATATCAGAACAGAGTCAGTCAAATCAAAAGGATGGACATAATAGATAATGTAAAAACAAAATATAAGGTGATCAACAATGGTTACCATACTGCCTCTTGCTATTTTTTTTTTTTTTTGGTCTTTTTCCTTTTTTTATCGGTACCGGGGATCGAACTCACGACTGCCTGCTTGCAAGGCAGGCGCTTATGCCGCTGAGCTAAATCCCCAGCCCCTGCCTCTTGCTATTTTAAGAAGAATTGGCAGTTATAATAAAAATGAACTAAACAGTAAAGAATAAAACCAAAGCATTGGAGACATTACAGGATTTTAAAAGAAAATAATAGTTAACCGGAATGGGCGTTATAATGATTCTTATTGTCTTCACAGTTTTGCCTATACTTTCGAACTTGATACTATCAAGCAAAGCAGAATAGAGGAAAATCAGTCAAAACAAAATGGTGAGGGCAATACAGGATTTCAAATCAAGTTAATAGGAAATCAAAGTAGGTTACTATAATGTATCCTGCTATTTTTTATTTATTTTTCCCTTAATTAAAAAAATAAGGAAAAAGTAAATAATTTAAAAAGGGAGGACTGAGATAAAAGAGGGCATAGCAACAGAACAGCACAGATCAAAACATAACCATTTAAGCAAAATAGTGTTTCACCACAAGATATCCTGACATAAAAATAGTTATCATAGTGTCTCTTTCCTTGAAATCTTTGAGTATAACTTCTTATACTGTAGCACCAAACATATCAAGACACTATAAAACCATTCAAGAGAATGACATTATTACAGGGTATTTAGAACCAATTAACAGAAAATGAACAATGGTTTCTGTATAATCTCCTTGTCTATAAAAGTTTTTACTTATATTGTCATATATAATAAAATCCAATAAGATACAACCTTTTAAGACCGATGGAGACAGAAGAATACACGTTTGATGGGACTTCAAAACAAGATGATACTAAATCAGCACTAGCTATTATGATGTCTTGTTTTCTCCAAAATTGCTGTTCCTGCCTTCCGATCTTCTCTGCCTCATTTCTGTTGAGCTCTTTTTCTGTCGTTTGTTGTCAGTTTGTCTTCTTCATTTCGTTTTCTGCCCCATTTATTGTGGCCTCTCTGCCACTATTTCTGGAATCTTGGTATTTTCCTTGTTTAGACTATCCTGCAGTATTCTCTGTAGAGTTGAATTAGTGGTTGCAAATTCCCCTAGTTCCTCTTTATCCTGGAAGCATCTTGTTTTTCCATCAATTTCTAGGGACAGTTGTGTAGGATATATCAATCTTGGCTGGAGGTTATTATCTTTCAAAGCTTGAATTATTTCCCCCCACACTCTTCATGATGTGATGGTTTATGCCAAGAAGTCTGCTGTAATTCTGATGGGTGTTCCCTTGTAAGTGATCTGTTTCTTATCTCTGACGGCTTTTAATATTCTGTTCTTCTATTGGATTTCTGGAATTTTGATTATTATATGCCTGGGTGTAGCTCTGTTTGGGTTGTAGGTGGCTGGAGTCCTGTATGCCTCATATATGTGAGTATCTTTACCATTTGCCAAACTAGGGAAATTCTCTTGGATTATTTCTGTGAATAGCTTTTGTAGTCCATTTGTTTGTGTCCACATTTCCTCTCTTATGTTCTTAATTCTTAAGTTATAGATTCTCTTATCATCTTCTAGTTTTTTTATTGTTGCTGTTTGATTTTTTGTTATTTTTAAGAAGTTTTCATTTCATGCTCCCATATTACAAATCTGCCCTCCAGTTCAGATAATCTATCCTTAGTTTCTTTCAAGCTGTTATGCCAGTTTTCCATAGAGCTTTTAGTTTCCTGGTAATCTCTTTGAACCTGCTTCACGTATTCTATGTTTTCTCTATGTTCTCCATCAAACAATTCTCCCCTTTTTTTCTGTTCTTCCATTCCACCATCTGTTTTTTCTTGGGCGATGCTTAGCATTTCTTTAACTATTCTGCTTATGTCTTGCTTCAGGTCATTGATAACTTCATTCCTGAACTCGTCTATGAGGCTCTAGAGATAGCGCTTTATGTCTATTGATGCCGTGTCTGCTATTGCGTGTTTCTCAGGATTGGGGGCCAAGGACCCTTTCTTGTTGCTCCTTCTTCCCATATTCTTTGTTCCTTATATTTAAGTGTGTATAGGAGGCCCAGCTTCATTCCCTGTTGGCCACAGTCTGTTTGAATTGTGCAGGCTAGGTGTTCCCGCCCACTGCAGCAGCACCAGGGAGACACAGACTCGAGCAGCCTATGCTGGGCGCGCCCCTCCAGGCAACCTACCAAAGGCTTCACCACTAGGGTGCACCTCCAGGTGCTGGGATCTGAGTTGGGCTAGCCTATTGGGTCTCAGCCAGCGGCATCTCACAGGCCAGGTATTCCCCACCAATCCCACTTGAGAGGGGGATATATGACTGAAGTCACTGCAGCTTCTCATTCCGGGAAGTCTGCCCGGTCTGAGTATGTCCTCTGCTGAAGCCTCCTTCTCTATGGAAGAGTCCCGATTCACTCACTCACTGCAGGTCAATGCAGGGCACCCGACCAGTCCTGCTCCCAACTCCTTTCAACACTTCCCACTCTCCAAGCTTTCGCGCCTCTCTCCCCACTGTGCTGACCAGGGCACAACAGTGGCTGCAGGTAATTCAAATCGCAATTTCCAGTGGTGCGGGTCCGGCTTCCGTGCTGAGAACTTATCTGTGCCTGCTGTATCACCAGGATTGTGTTTTCAGATGGTTTCTCATAATTCAGTTCGTTCCTGGGTCGGCAAAGAATATCCCCCCTTGCCTCCTGCCCGGCACCATTCCTAGATTTCAAGTGCAGTTTCTCAGAGAGCCTCCGAGGCTGCTGCTATCTATCTGCCATTTTCTTCCAGACTCCCACTCTGTTGTTTTTAAAGTTTTCCTAGTAATTATGGGCATTTTCTGTCTCTGGCACCCTTATCAATGGTCCTCATGGGGTATTTGACATTTAGCATGTGTGTGCACGTGTGTGTGTCTAGAAAAAGCCAAGAAACAACTAATGCAAACATTTTCTATTATTAACCACTCCCACTGTATTCCCACATCTTCCTCCTCTCTCAGTTTAGTAAAATAACCAAGGGTTTTCAAGTCTTTTTGCCATAAGAAAAATCTATATATTGCTCTATCAATCTGTCTATCCAATTTGACCCAAACAACAAAGCTCTTGTTACCACTGTCAGTTCTTGTCACGTAACTCCACATTGACATTATTAAGAAAAACCTAGTAGCTAACAGCTTTGATCCGTAACCAAAGGACTCCTACTCTGTAGCTGCACCCCAGTCCTGTGTGGTGAAGTAGAGAGTCCATGAGGAAGAGATGATGAGGAAGAGAATGTACCTCACGCTCCTGCCCTGTCCATGCAGCCCCCTCTGCAGCGCTGCCTCCCAACCGTGCGGTGACACCGTTTCACAGTGAACAGTGCAGCGACAGATTGGACTGAACAAAGCAGAAAGGGAAATGTGTTCCTGAGAATTACAGCATCTACAGAATAAATATACTGCTGCAGCATATCCTACTGATATAGAAACAAGCAGCACTCCCACAGAAACGCTTTGAACTGAGAAACTAAGCATTTGAAGTATGCTCTACATTAGGGGGACTGACGAGCTTTTTTGAACAAACCAGCTGCTGGCTCTAAAGTCCAAAGTCACTTGTATGGATTTGTGTCCAGCTTGTGTTCAATCAGATTTAAATGTTAACTTTAACATACGCTAAAAGTAGCCCGAGTCCTAGGTTTAAGCTTTTTATGTGCATATGCCTTCTTTAAGGAAAACAGCAGGTTCCTTGTTGGGCCTGAATATAACACTGGAAACATAAATATGAGAACCCTAAGGAAAACCATTTATCGCATGACAACACCATGGTACAAAAGAATGCGGCCGGGAATATTTTGCCTATTGGCTTGTAAAACATTTCCCTATAGAGAAATGCTTTGAAATGTTTATCAGGGAAGAAATGCCCTGCACCTCCAAGCTCTGACAGTCTTAGGAGTGTTCTTCTCTCTTTCTACAACCAGCTTCTTCCCCTCTTGCTCCCATGCCCAGCATGGTCCCCACTTGGTGGCAATTTTTGTTCTGTCCCATCAGGATTATTTCTTTCTTGCTTTCTGTTGTCTATCAGTGCCCATCATGAGATACTTCTGGGGCCTGAAAATGCTCTTTGCATTAGGAAACCATACTTTATGCCCTTAATAGGCACTCACATATTGGCTGGATTACAAAAGCAAACAAAAACAAAACCCCTGAATCTTATTTGAAAACTTTTTTGTAAGAAGTTGCAAGCTTTTTCAACTGTCACCTATAGTCCTGGAAGTTTCTCTTTCCTGTAGGCTTTAGAGTTAGGCGACCCTCTGTCCCATATAGCTCAAACTGGAAGAAGTAACCTAGCCTGTGGGACATCCAGTGTTAGAACCAGGAAAGTCCCAAGCGAACAGGGATGCACCAACATCCTGTTAGAAGTGTGAACCTGAGTAAGGCTCCTGAGAATTTTGAGGCTCTAGAATGAAGATAAAAGCTGGGTGTGAACTGAGCCTCACACCCATAAAGGCACAGTGGTGTGTGGCCTGGAGAGGAGACCCACTGCACAGAGAAGGGCGCAGGGGCTGTGACAGCAGTTAGTTGTTTCGTGATGGTTGTTAAGCAGAAGGACATGGGGTGGGGGCATGACTAAAAATTCCTCAGTATGCAGCAATGAGCTTTGTTAGCCTAAGTGCTTCTCATCTGCAGTGTATGTATTTCATGCATGAACAACTTTCTGATTTAGAGATGTGGTGGGTAAAATGCTTTCAGTGAAAAAGGAAAAATTACCCTTAAAATCCTACCCAGATGTAGCTGCATTCAACTTAGCAAGACAGCCTCCTTGGGTAAGATAAAGAAAGGCCTGGCCAGCTCAACAAAGGCAAAGAGGCTGGGCTGTGACAGCCTGAGGTCTGAAAGTGTTGATGTGACAATGAGAGTTGGCAGGGGCTGGGACCTTCTGCCCCAAGCCAGGTTGCTCAGGCCATCAATCTTAGTGGCTACAGCTGGAGATCAAAACAAATGGAAATAGCAAAGTGGCCTCGAAAAATTTATGATCATTTCAGATACAATTGCAATAAATATCCAGGTTTGGCAGATGAAGAAGGCCTTTGTGTTCTTTTCGTACAAACTTAAAATATTGGCTTATAAAATAGGAAAGTGGAATCGAAAACAAACTGAGCCAGGACTGTTGAAAGTGGTTAGGAAATAAGAGATTTGGGGAAAATTAATATGTGTTTCCACTTTTTTTTCCTTCAGTGTAAGAGAATATGGTTCATTTGAATCAATCTTTAAGGTTGGGCTCTCAGAAAGAGAATCGCAACTTTCAGGTGCTGATGATAATTCGAATGGAACCAACTGTGCTGTTCCACAGTACTTACTTTTATGGACAGATAATAATTAGCACTGAAATTATTTGTATCCAGATGGGTTCTTCTAAATTCTCCAAATCATGTCTATAAATCTATCAAAGGCGTGGCATAGAATTAGAAATTATAGTTCATTCTTTAAATACAGATTTTTCTTCACCTGTTTAACTCCTCACCCTTGTCATCCCAAATTTTCCCATTCAACAAGCATTTATTTGCAAGCATGAGGTCCTAAGTTCAGTTCCTGGGCACAGAAAACCAAAACAAAACAAAAAACCAAGCATTTATTGAACACCTAACTGCATGTCATGGAATATGCTGAATGCGGGGTTAGAAAGACTGAAAAAGGACCTGCTCTTGCACTGTGATTTACCCTTGCATTGGGGAGGCAATTGACCAGAGACGTGTCACACAGAGTGTCACAGTCAGCAGTCAGGCACATGAGCTGAGGATATCACTGTCCTAAATTTGAGAGATCTGACTCTAAACTAATAAAAGGCTGATTGTTCAGGGAGGAGCCATGAGTCTGGGTGAGAAAGAGCAGCTCCTGGATGGAAGAGGCACCACGAGCAAACAGGAAGTTTATCAGTCACAGCCATACTGAGCCCTGTTTGTTAGAATGACTCAGTGGGACAGGACTTAAGTAGGGCCTTCGGCTGCACTCTAGAAATGCTCTGGAATGTTTGTCACCCCCTTCTCCCATCATCTTTGCCTTGTTCCCCTCTCTTTCTCTCTCCTTCTCTCCCTCCTCCAGCTCTACACTGCACAATTAGGAAACTCTCACTTGAAAGCCTGCTCACTTGGGGAAGTTAAACACAACTCAAGGCTACTGATGGAAAACTTTCAGGAAAGCTTCCCACCAGAAGTGCTCAGTGACAGCCTCTGGAAAGCCAGCTGGTAGAGATGCCTAGCAGAAGGCTCTCAGAGAAGGCACAGGCAGCAGTAGGCAGATGTCTAAGTACAGAGCTAGGAGTCTTCAGTGAGTGTCCCACAATGTGCATGGTTGCCATAAAAAGGCATCAGAATGGTTCTGAAGGAACCATTGCAGGAAATCGCAACAGCTCAACATGACCTGGAGGCCTATCATTCCAGGGCAGCCCAGTGCTTAAAATCCGTGAAGGGGGATGCAGCAGGCATCATGCCATGGAGTCAGGTCCTGGTTTCATAGCACATTAGCATGGCTAAAGCCAGAGGAACGAGGAACCTATAGACCCAGGTAGAGAGGGAAGACCCCAAGGCTGGAAGGTAGAAGGCAGGAATTTGCTCCCATTGAGTCTCTTCCCTTGTCTAGAATGAGCTACTGTCAACAGATCAAAGGTCACTTCCTATACTAAGATTCAGTAGTTCTAGACTGTAGCTAGTGATAATATGGTTATAAACCCACAGGGGTGCTTTATATCTATGATGCATTGAGCTGCATCATAGAAACTCTCCATGAAGAATAATCATCTGCCTGATTCACCCCCAGATGGTGAGATATGCCACCAGCTCAGCCTTACCCTTTGGTGTGCCCTCCACTGGGGGGTACCTATGACTGCAGCCAGAGTGGGTATATGCAGCTGATCTTGCCTTTGGGACACAACCCAAGACCTGTGGTATATTTCAGGTCCTGCTGGGTCACCTGGCCTGGATGGCTTGCATGGTTTGAAGGGTGAGAAAGGAGCCAAAGGGGCCTCAGGTAAGATGAAAACCGTTCCCCAGGGGCCAAGCTTGGGCCCATGGACCATGATATGATACAAGGTCTTCCCCTGGCCTCCTTCACTTCATGAGATGGGGTACAGACCTGGGAAGGGGGCTTAGGCCCGACACACAGTGTTAGAACTGCTTCTGATGCCGGTGATGACTCCCATGAAGGATATTCATGTTGTTGATATTGCTTGGGAATATCTCCTAAAACTACTCTGAATATTTGCTTAAATGGGCCCACATTTCAAAATGTCATGAAGCAAATAAATAGTCTAGGTTTTTACAAAATGATTGCAAGTGCAGTAAAGGCTCATACAGCCATGTGGATGTAATTAGTACTTTTCACTTCCTTTTACTGCCAATGCTAAGGCAAATTATCTGAAATATTTGCTGTTATTTTTGTTACCGCAGATAGGTTAATATTTAACAACCATAGTTTAGCTTATTCTGTTGACATAATACACATGTGTTGTGTGATCTTTCTGAGAAAAAATATAAAACCAGATAAAGTGCCAGCATGTACATTTGGGTGATTGTGGGGGAAAGACAGAATCATGCAGTGAGATATGAATCTGTGGTTGGAAAGAGATGAAATCTTTGGATGATCAAAAAGTAACTTAGCTCATGTTGGATTTATTTAGTGGCTCTTCCAAACAGTCTGATTAAATGTTTACCCCTTCTGAGAAAACAATGTTTTTTTTCCCTTCCCAGTGGGAAACCACACCACGGGGGTTGTCTTTATATGCCACTTACCACTCAATTACAAAGCAGCTTGTTTGGAGTTATTTATTATTCTGTCCCATTTGTTTTTGCCTTATCTATTGTAAAGTTCATAAGGTTGGTATTATGACTAAGCTATTGTATTTTTAAATCTGGAAAATTATTGTAAGAGAAGCTAAACCCTTAGTTACAACCCGTGGACAGGTTGTAAGAAAAAAATAGCCCAGCAATAGTATGCAGCCATTTGGAGCACTGGCAGAGTTCGGTCTCTGCAGAACCAGACACTTTTCTGCTGGGAAGTGGCTCCTTTTTAAGCACAATACCAGGGTAAAAGTGAAAGAAGGTATAATACTGATACTATTTTCCCCATTAAGGTTTGCATGAAATGGGCCCACCAGGTCCTATGGGACTACCTGGTCTAAAAGGAGAGATGGGAGACCCTGGGAGTCCAGGAATTTCTCTTCCAGGCCCTTTTGGAGAGAGAGGCTTCCCAGGCCCCCCAGGTAAGAAGCAGTAGGCTTTGATTCTGTCTCAGTAACTAATTCAAAGACTTACAAATGTAATGTGGCTAATGCATGAACCTGTGCTTATGCAGGTAGACCAGGCCCTCCAGGTCCTGCAGGTGCCCCAGGAAGAGTGCCTAAGGGTGACATTCCTGACCCTGGTCCACCTGGAGATCAGGGACATCCTGGACCTGATGGCCCACAAGGTATGAGAACATCATGACAAAACAAGGCAATCCTGCCTTCATTAGATGCTGCCGGTTTGGTAAGGTTCTAAGACCAGAGAATGGCAGAGTGCAGGGGCCCAAGTGGCCCCATTAGTTTGGCAGAGACAAGTAAGACCCAGTTGGGTGGGAGTGTGGGTGTGTGGTGGGCTCTCAGAACCATATCCAGGCCCAGAATGAGACCCCCCTCCATCTTACATGTCAATTCTCAGATGACCCATTCCGGGCCACAAAATACAGAGAAAACATTTCCCATCAGCACCTTGATGCTGCCCAGGGTGCTTCAGAAGTGCCTAGGAAGAGGCACTCACACCCTTTGGTGGTTTCCTACATCTGTCTGCTGGTCCAGAGTGACAGGAGGCAAGCCTCACACATGCCCAGAAACAGCTTCTGAGAGAGCATGTTTTTCCTTTCACTGTTTCTTAGGGACGAACTCTGGCAGGGCAAGATTTTGGAAGCTAGTGTAAGCTCACAAAGTTGGAATGAGCTAGATCTGCTTAGGAATCAAAAGAAGAGTATGGTCCAGTGCCATGACTCGCTTGGCTGCCACACTGGCTGGACCCCCCACCTCAGAATCTTTTGGGCTTTAGTAGAGGTGGGATTGTACACAGAGCAATAGAAAAGCAATAAAAATATTCCAAGAAGTATAGAAGCTAAATGAGAGTAGAATTAGGGTTAACTCATCCCTATATGTAGGTGCATATTTCCAAATATGACTACAGATACACTGAGTGAAAATTTTCTTCCAATTGGCCGGTGACATATTTTTCAAATATCCCATCTGTGCATCCCTTCAGCCCTCCCTTCCTCCTCCTTTTAAAGCAGTGAGATGATAATACAAAGCATGAGGTGATACTTTCGGGAAGAATGGCTCTAAAACCAGGTTTCACTCAGGTTCATTTTGACTAACAGTGTGGCCCATGACACACCATTTCTCGGCCTAGGCTTCATGGGATGTACTCTCATTTCAGTTCTGTACTTACCAACTTTCTTATTCTCCCAATTCCCTAAATCTCTTGCTTGCGAGCCACTAAATGACTGCTCTTAAGGAACCTTCAGGTGGGCTGGGGATTTAGCTCAGCAGCTCAAGCGCTTGCCTGGTAAGAATGAGGTCGTGAGTTTGATCCCACCACCACCACCATAAGAAGCTATATGTTTTTGTTTGAATAAAAGGATTTTTTTTTTGCCTCATTTTTAGGAGCACCTGGGCCTCCAGGAACCCGTGGGAGTGTTACCCTTCTGAAAGGAGAGCCAGGTGACTGTGGTCTGCCAGGGCCACCAGGCCCCCCTGGCCCTCCAGGCCCTCCTGGATGCCAGGGTGTTCCAGGATGTGATGGGAAAGATGGCCAAAAAGGTATGAATGCAAGTTGCTCCTTAATTAGTATGTGAACATTTTCTTTATTTCACCCTCAAGGATCAGGAGTAATTCCCTTCCGTAGTGTCACCCCTGTTTCTTATGGAAACAGTCACTACATTTCCCCAGAGAGTCTTGAAGTGTGGGTACAAATTAAGCAAGTGCAAGTAAGAAACAAGTTTCTCTTAAGCCCTAGTAGTACTTTTGGTAATCTCTGGGCCAGAGCTGGAAACAGAAATAAAAGGTGCATTCTAAAAATAAGACGAATGCCTCAATTTTAAAAATTCATTACAGTAAAATATGCATTATCATTTATACTCCGCACTTCAGAAACACTTCCCATCGTTTTTGACACTTTCGGAAGCAGCTCTGGAAGTTCTCTTTCCTGAGTGTTTAGTTGTGTCTTGGCTGCCTTGGTATCCTGAGCAGATTAAAAACGTGTACCTTTATGGTCATTTTGACTTTGGGGGAGAACCAGGGGTTGGGTTGCATGGTACCAGATCTTGTGAATAAGGTGGAGCAGGACACCTCAAAATGTTTTTACTTGATGGAAATTGCTGTAAACTGTTTGAATCAATCAATTCAGGATGCTGAGGCAGCTGTGACAGTATAACTGAAGATCTGAGAGAACAGCTTCGGAGAGTGGCAGGAGTAATGGGATACGTGTGTTCTACACGAAGGGGAGTATTTTGAGAAAACTTAAAAGCCATGTGTCATTTATGGTAGTACATTCAAAAATTCTTTTAATATTCACTGTATATTTTGATCATCCCTTGTATAAGTCATGTAAAATTCAAACCTGTAATTGCCACATTTTTCAAGGTAAACAGGTGAAGATATCTGCATACTTTATTTAACATACTCAAACATTATTTTATTGATTGATTGTCTTTTTGAGACAGGGTCTTGCTATACAGCTCAAGCTGGCCTTGGGCTCACTTTGTAGCCCAGACTAGTCTCAAACTTGCAAAGATCTTCCTGCCTTGGCCTCCAAGTGCTAGGATGACAGGAGTGTACTGCCACACCCACTAAATATCATTTTAACATAGTATAACATTAGCAGTGAGATAACACAGGTGACTGTGCATACCTAGTTCCTCTTCCCAGTGTGTCACTGCTCTTGCCTCTGAAACCCAGTATATATTTTACACTCTTATTACAACCCAATTTGGACTGGCCATACTTTAAATGCTCGGTAACCTTAGGTGGTTCATAGCTTCTGTATCAGGATTTCAGAGAATTGTTTGGCTCATGGAATGTTTTTGTTGAAAAGGGGCCAATACTGATTATTCACTTTAATTTCCTTATTTCATAAATAAGGAAGCTGGATAGCAAAGAAGTGACTGTTTACGTTTGCAAAGGTTCTCAATAAGAAGTACCCTGCCTGTGTTCTGACTTGTGAGCCAGGGTACAAGATTAGGGCAGAAGGAGATTAAAACTCACCAAGAGGCCCCCTTGACTACTGTGCAAAAGGTGTCTGTGAGATCGGGCCATTGCGCATCTGTGTTACACTGTGCAGCGGCCTCCTCCACCCGTAATAACAGTAACACCGAGTTTAGATAACGTGGCATGTCTGCAGTTATGTGAGCTTCCAGGTGGTGAAACCTCAGACTTGGAAGTCTCTAGTCATGGAGAGGAAGGAGGACAGATCGGCAGACCTGTTTTTTCTTTTCTAGTTGTTACTGTGCAGACTAAATCTTCACCTGGGCTGGGCTAACAGCAAATCATAACAATACATTAGTGACTTACCGTGGGCCTACAGGCAGCTAGGAACACTTGGGAACCACTAGTCAAGCTCCTTCACTGTGGCTCCTGGGGAGTCAGGGCCAGCAGAGCTGTGCGGGAAGCAGGGTGAAGTGCACAGTGGGAAATGTTCCTTCCGTTCCGCCAACATGTCTTGGGCACCCACGGGAATGCGGTGCTGAGCACATGTGGACCGGGTCCCTACTGCAGTTCAGGGCTGAGTTTCGAGAAGGCGGACAGACATTCAGGTGGAGAGAGATATCTCCATCAGCAGAGCTCCTGGGATGCCAGGGAGCGCTTCCCCAGGAAGTCTGGATGGTAGAGGAGGAGACAGCTTGATGGGTGGATGAGAAGAAAAACAGGAACAACACAGACAAAGACCTGAGCTGCTGGTAGCCCTGATGTAAGTGAGCAAGGAAGAAATGATAGGACGTGGAGCAGGAAAAGCACCTCATTTCTCTATAGCAAACTTTTCTCCCCATTTTCTGCTCAATTCCAGCCCCTTGTCTCCAGAGAAAGTTACAGGTACCAGGGCTTTTTGTTCTAATGCAGTTTCTTCCTAGTCAAGAGCTCATTTCTCCTTCATCTCTTTGGTGGACTCTTGTGTTTCTTGCCGGCAGGGGTGGGTCCTTCTCACAGATGTGAGGCTGATGGCAACTTGAAGCTGACTGTGCCCTGCTTTTTCATGATGTGGAGCATTACAAATTCACACTGTCTTTATATGGTTTCATTCTGATAGTTTTATATCTCTTTTAGGACCAATGGGATTTCCAGGACCTCAAGGGCCACCTGGCCTTCCTGGGGCACCTGGAGAAAAGGGTTTACCTGGATCTCCAGGCAGGAAAGGGCCCACTGGTCCCCCAGGTAAGCTGCTAATGGATGGCCTTTCGTGAAGCAACCCACATGTGACACTTTAAACGTTAACTGTGAGAGTGTTTTGGAAAATACTTTATTATCCTGAAACTATAAGTACATTCTTGTGAATTCAACATTCTAATATAAGAGGATATTGATTTGAGACCGCACCCTGAGGTCTCATGTTTGATAAACCAATATTTATTTTCAGAACAAGTAAGTTTAAAAATTAAATGATGTGACATGTACTATTTCTAAGGGAAATATGTGTATGATTATTGTTTGTTAGGATTGTATTTCACCTCTTATCCTTAGATTTTTGTGGGTTTTCCTACATTTACTACTTAGCAATTTTCTGTAAAGTACATTAGCTTCTATGAAGGTGAAAAGCTATTTAATTTTCCTCTATCAACAAATTTTTTTATTATAGAGACAAGTCAGCTAAGAAAGAATTGAGACTAGAAAGGGCAAACAAATATGCACATTGAAATTTGCAGAAGCAGTATCTTTCAAGATCCTAAATCAAACATAAAAAAGAAAAAAAGTCCTAAATCAATCATGGTAATACAGTAATAATTCAGAATATTTAGTTCTGTCAAATAGGCGTTCTAGAGAACAAAAAAAGTGTCATGTATGATGAATGATCATTATACAACAGGATAGAGGGTTTGCACTTAGATTCTTTTTATATTTTTCTGCACATAACCTATAAAACTTTGGCAAATCAATACAGAATTTTTGTGAGGTTTTAAATGGGCAGAATTCCTTCACACATAAATTCTGGTCAAATTTGGCACGAGAAAGCCACTAGAATTTTATATTTCTCAAGAGACTTTCATTTCAAGTCCTTGTAGAAATGAAAACTCCATTAATACTACTCTCCATTGGGTCTGTCAGTCACACCAGTGCAGACATTTTTATGTAAATAAGATACTCTCATTCTGCTTGTCATTGATGCTGTCCCAAATTATTATTTATGTTCTCAAACAACATATTTCATTTTTTTTTTCTCCTACTCACAACTTTAAAATCTCTCTCCATCGTGTGAAACTCGGCACGTGGTCTTATTTTTTGGCTTTGGATGACTCCAGGTCCCAGAGGTAAGCATGGCTCTGACATTCACGGTTTTTTGGTCTGCTTTCTCAGCACTTCCACTGTTCTACTGGATTGGCACGTTGAACTGGTGCATTTGCATAGATGGGGTTCTGTAGTTATGATGGATCTTAGTGCCTTTGCTTCCTCGTTACGGACGGAGTGTCAGGTTAGCGCGTCCTAATGCTCCCCTCGTTACGGGTTGTCAGGCTGGGGTGTTCAGCACATGTCATCTCAGTGCAGGTACCACGTACCAGTGCTTTGTCAGCCATATGCTGTTGCCTGTGCTAATGTACTTCTCTTCAATGACTTCTACAGTAGAACCCCGAGACCATCCCTTAATTAATAATATCATCACGACTAGAGAATGGGGCCTTACCTCCTAGGACGGCCTTGGGTGACAGGCCTTTCCTGTTACACTCACATCCATTTGCAAGATTTCATCACGTGTTAAAAAGAAAATGTTTGCTAAATACTCTAAATTGATGCCAAAGCAATGTATTATCTTGCATCTGGTATTTTTGAAAAAAATTAAAAAATGTTTTTTTTAAAAAAGGCAAAAGAAAACTTGTCAACACTTGCATTTATTCTTTCCAGGCATCTGTTATTTGTTCTAATCAAAACTTCCCTGAATACAGATGCCATATATTATTTTTAGGATCTTTGGAAGAAAACCTTAGCCTCTCTGTTTCAGTTCTAGACTATTAAAAAGTACAGCAAACAAAAAAAAGTCTTATGTTTTAACTCTGCTATTTTAAATACCTATATTTAAAAAGTAAAGCTGTATATTTAATAAAATTTCATTTCAATCTTATCTATGGTCTTGTATGAACATCATTTGAAGATAATATCACAATTCTCTATACCAGCCCTCTGTGCCAGCTTCTCTGCACTGCCACCGCTGGAAAAGTCCCGCATTATTCAGGGAAGATGGGAAATGTTCCCGTGCCTCCCTCTCAAGTCATGAGTAGTGGAAAAGCCAAGTTCAACGTTGAACTAGACATATTATGAAGCTGAACACGTCCCTGTGCTGCTTGTGGTTTCACACCATATATTTTAGGAGTTAAATTCCCACAGCTTATAGTGTTCAAGTCCATTTTGCACAGGCATGTGAAGAATCCTGCAGACTAAACTTCTGTGGTCATGGCCATGTTTTTCTATGATTTTCTTCCTGTTTTACTATTGCTATTATTAAAATTATCAACGACAGTTGTGTGAATTTGAAAAAGAACCATAACTAATCAAAACATGTTTCATTTATTAGAATTCTAAGGGTTCTTAGGCTGGGGGTGTGGCTTAGTGGGAAATAATTTGTATAGCAGGTGTGAGGCTTTGGGTTCAATCCTCAGCCCTGCAAAAAAGAAGGAAGAACAGGAGAGGGGCAGGGAGCCGGAGGGGACTAACTGAGGATGTGTAGCGTGGCGGTTAAGAGCACGGTTTGGAGCCAGGGCATTCTGGACTCTGGATTCTGCCATGCCTTGGGGTGTATGCTGCTGTTTACTTAGTTTCTTACCTGTCATTATCTAATAACCGCACACACACATGGTCTCTTTGAGAGGCTCTGCTACATGCGAAGGCACTCAGTAAGTGTTAGCCGTTATCGTTATTGCTTAGGGTTATTTCCCCAGCACTTGCGGCATGCTTGCAAGGTAACTGAATGAAGTTTTAGAGAAATAAAAGTACCTTGAAGGTGGAATGTAACCCAGATTTTGGTGAGCTAGTTCTAAAGGTGAGACCAGAGTCCACATCAAAGGTTAGAAGTGCAGAAGTCGGATCCCAGCTCACACCTCTGGCTTGGGAATCCGATTTCTAAGGCACTGGAGATTCCGAAATGCCGAAGTTAGAACTGAGCCTTGTAAAGGGTTTCCCAGTCCTGGATGACTTGGGAGTCCTGTGAGGAGTTTGAAGACATAAAAATGACTGGGTCACACCCCGGAAATTCCTACATCTAGGGGGTCACAGCAGCAGTACTTCAGAAAGGCTCTCCACCCGAGTTGATTGTACAGCTGGGTTGAGTTGAGGGCGCTGCCCAAGCCACATCCTGTCACCCAGCAAAGCAGTATTTCTGGAGGTGAACCACCTGTGTCAGGCTATTTCTCCAGCTTCCCTGGATCTTCCCACTGTTCAGTCAAGGCTAAAAGGCATCACGTCTGCACTCATGGAAATTCTGTGCAAGTAACTGACACCAGGGAAATCTACTTAGCTTCTATGTAGAGTAATGAACTGGGCGCTGAATGGTGATATTTAGAAACTCACTCTTTTAATGGTATTGGTAGCTGCCTCCCAGCAAAAAATGGCCCAAAGGTTAGAAATCTGTGAAGGGCATCAAATGATTAGCGCTTTAGCCAACTGTCACAATTGCATACTTCTAACACATCATTCATTTATTCCTGCAAGCAGTCACTCCTTCATTCAACAAATGCTTTCTCGAAGTTGTCTCTGTACCCCCACCCAGAGCAAGACAAGTTTGTGCACCACATTCTTCCTAACATTTCAGTGTAGAGTCAGAAACGTGTTCTCCTGGAGGTGCAGAAGGAGCAGGTGACTCCAGCACATCCATGCCGGTTCCAATTTCAGGTGAACCTGGGCCACCTGCAGATGTGGACGCCTGCCCTCGTATCCCAGGGCTTCCTGGGGCACCAGGCCCACGAGGACCAGAAGGAGCCATGGGGCCCCCGGGAGAGCAAGGCCCCCCAGGACCAGGTATAATCCTTATTCTGTTTGTTATTTGCATTGTATGTAGCTGAAATACGGGAACATTTCCTTCCCCTTTTACCTTTAAAAACAAATCCAAATGTTTACTCATACGCTAACTAGACCTCTAGCTCCCTTCTGTTGCTGTGTTGAACTTCTTCATGTCTTTCAGATTGCCCAGCTGCTGAGCGTGGCCTTCTGAAACCTCTTAGCACAGCAGAATAGATGCCCTATTAATAGCCTCTAATAGCTGTTGACTTATTTGATTTAAAAACTGCTGAATTAGAATTCAGTGGAGCAGAAACAGAGCCTACGAACAGGGAGAGGGGATGAATCACCTAGGTGGGGGTTAAGGAAAAGGGGTATTCCTCTAACTTTTGGCATTGTTCACTCAGTCAATCCGAGTACTACTGTTCAGGCAGTGTCACGGGGGCAGGATCATTATTAGCATTTAAGCCCAACTCTTCTTTTAAGAAGTATTCTCTAGGTGGTTTCTTTTCTCATCTCCTCCCACCCTGGGTAATTTACAGTGCCTCTGGGGACTCAGTCTGGTGTCTTCAGACTGGTTGGCAGCAACCCTGTGTGCAACTTACTGGAAGAGGAGGCACAAGGCTGGCCCCTCTTCCATTTTTTCCTACTGCTTTGCTTTGCCATGATTTGAGTTCTTTTGGTTTAGGGTCAAAGGAATTGGACGCAGAAGTGGATTTTGTAGTACTGTACCTGTTTTTCTTATAGTTCCCCAGACCCAAGAAGCTAAGTAACCAAGAGGTGCTCCCTCAGCTGGAGTCTCAGTGTTCTTGGGTAGAGGCCAGAATATCTCTGAAGGCTTCCTCAAGTTACCATGTGGTTTGTTGTTTGTTGTATTGCATCTGTGTGAGCAACGTTAATTTGGTGTCCGCTGTAGCGACTTCCTTTAATGGCCCATGAGCTTTGAGGCTTGAGTCAGTGAACACTTAAATTCTCTTTCTTTGGCACTCGTTGCATGGATAAAGCTCTCTGTCAGTTGGTGTCACTGTCACTCAAACTCACTTTAAAACCAAGATGTAGTCCAGCATGGTATCACACATCTTGAATGCCAGCATTCTGGGAGGCTGAGGCAGGAAGATCAGAAGTTTGAGTCCAGCTTGGGAAGGTTAATCACTTTATAAGTCCCTGTCACTAAAAATAAATAAATAGGAATGTAGCTCAGGGTGTCAACCTTGCATAAAGCCCTAGTAATACAATAAATGGATAGACAGATAGATAGATAGATAGATAGATAGATAGATAGATAATAAATGAAACCAAGCTAACATGTTATGCATATATTTGCAATGTCAATAGTTGGGGCCTACCAATTAAAAAACAAAACAAACTAACAAAAACAAAAAACTCTCAAATAGATGTGACCTGTAATAGGCAAATTCAATTCAGTAAATACTTTCAGAGTTTCTGTACTCTTTGCTGTGGGCATTATGATGATGAACAAGCTGAGTTTCCCCCTTCAAGGGTCTCACAATCTCATGGCAGAAGGACCTGCCAGAATGTAAAGAATGGCAGATTCTACTTCATGCTTTAAAGGAGTTCCAAGCCAGAGGTGTTAGGGTGCCTCTCCATATGTGTTGTATCCGTGTGATAAATCGCTGAGCTGCTGAGGCCCCAGCCACTGGCATCTGAGCAGAGCTTTAAGGAAAGGCTGGGCTTCAAGGAGCCAGAATTGTCCCGCAGAGAGGCCTGAGAAGAAGGGGCAGTGCGGGTTGATCTAATAACTCATTAAATAGTCAGCTGCCACATCCTTGTGACTTCAGAGGGCCAAAAGCCACTCACTCCCTGAAGTACTGAGTTGTGGTCTGAATTCTAAGAAAATCTGAGAGGTATTTGTATACACATTCATTTAAGAAACCTAGCTGAATAATACGAATGCTTTCCTGGGCCCCTGCCAAAAGAGCTGGGCATGAAGTGGGCTGGAGCCTGAGCGCCAGTGTTGAAGTCACGCAGGTGATCACAGCAAGCAGCTGGAGTGGAGACCCACTGCTGTACCCCGCAACAGAACTGAGACCCAGTGGTGGCTGGGTCCAAAGGTCAATTCTGTACGCTTTAATGGTGATCTTGTATCCACACAGGATTCTCTCTGCAGAATGTGAGCTTCTAGAAGGGGGCGGCTCACTGTGTTCACTAGGTGCAGTGGCTGCGCTGCCAGTGGCCTTAGGGGCCTTAGGGGGCTTCTCTGGCTCCTTGTGCCCTCTCACTGGTGTGCCCAACCCTGCTGGCTGACAGTGGGGATGTCCTGAGTGCACCTCTTCTACAGAATGTGATGATTATCAAACAAAGCTTGCTCAGTCCTTTGGGTCTCCTGGAGGCCTGTCCTGTGCATTGTTGGGTGTCCAGCAGCACCCCAGGCCTCCAGCCCTCTACTTGCAAGTATTAGTGCCCTTGTCATGTAGCAACCACAGGTGTGTGCAGACACTGGCAAACATTCTTGGGTGAGCAGAACTGCCCAATGCTAAGAAGTGCTTGTGTAGGGAGAAGTCCAGTAGGGGATGGCACATGTGTCATTAGCCTGGGGACAGTCATTTGGTAAAAGAGAAACAAATCTTTATTATACAAATAAATATAAAAGGTTAAAAAAAATTTAAAAAGGCACTGTTGCCTGTACATTTTTTGTCTCATTTCTGTGCATCTTTAAAAAGATCTTAGGCATCATCTTTTGTAAACTGCTCTGCTAAACGTGCCACTTCTTATGTCATTACATATCTTCCTATGCCACTATCTGTTCTGGCTGCAGAATATTGCATTATTTGATGAGTCATAATTTATTGAGCCACACTCATGAATTATTGATTGATTGCATTGGTACTAGCCGTTTTGCAAGAAATAAATTAATCTCACAAGGCCCCGCCCTTTGGAGCAACAGGCTTGCAGAAAAAGAAGGGATTGACTGTATCAGGAGAGATGTGTTGAGTATTAGCCTAGGGTCACATGGGAACATAATCTAGCATGTGCCAGAGTTGCAAGTGACTTTGAAGCTGGGCCCTCAAGCTGTCTGCAGCATCTGGGTCCCCAAGAAAGCTTGTTAAATAAGGATTGCTGGACCCCATTCTAGGCTCTGGCTTGTCAGGGGTGGAGAGGGCTCTAAGATTCCTGATTCTTAACAAATTCCGAGGCCATGCTGCTTCTGGTTTAAGATGCTTCTACTTCAGATGGATCATGATAAGTATCTGGTAACGAAGGTCTTTCTGGATAACACGTCTCTTACTCTGAGCATCCCCAATGATGAAAACTCGTTATAGTTACAAATGGAGATTCTCTGAAACTAGACCACATCTGTGCAATCACATAGCCTGTCTGTGACTCAGTTTCCTTATCTGTAAAAGAAGCCTGAGAACTGTGCAAGTTCACTCTGATAGAAAACACTCAGAAACCGCTTGACAGACTCAGGTGTAACTCTGTTTGCTGTTATTGTTTCCTTCAGGTAATTCCTGGAGTAGAATTTCTATTTAAAGATACAGGTACATAGGTGAAAAAGAAAAAAGTATTTAAAAACAGCCCCCAAAAGAAAAAATAGGCAGAGATATGATTTTCAAAATATAGTAAGTACATTACCAAAAGAGTTTCAAAATTTAATTCATCAGCTACCACAGTGGTTCTCAAAGTGTGGGCCATGAAACCAGCAGCATTGGTTTCAGGTGGGATTTTTTGGGAATGTGGACTCCCAGCCCTGGCCCAGTCCTGTTGAGACAGATGCTGGGGGACCTGAGCTTAGAACTTCTCTGAGCTTCTACTCTCTGCAGCAGAGACTGTGTCTTCAGGATGTTGCTTGTGTGGGCTGGCGGGGGAAGGGTAGTGCCCAGCGGTGCTGCAGGCTGGCAGCTCTGGACCAGGTGCAAATGCTCAGCACAGCTGCAAAGAGGCTGGGTAGGGACCTGGATTTCGGTTTCTCCAAACCAGATCAAACCTTCCCAAGCCTCTTGTGTCCTTTGCCCGACAGGGCTGAAATTTAAGCTTGTATTAGTGTGTTTGGTTAATTCATTTATTTGATGGGCTGTGGCCAATCTGCATGGACGCCAAGTTGCTCTTTGTTCGTTGCTCTTTGCTCCTGAATCTTCCGAGCCTGTCTCCCTCTTTCGTGCTGTGTGAGCCCACAGAGTCCTAAGGCTGCCTGGAAGACAGACTCGGGTAACCCAGGCAAAGGGATTATCCTGGGACCTGGCACATTGTGGGTGCTCAGTGAGAATTTGCAAAATGATCTGGCTCCAACCTTGACTCTCCACTGAATCCTGTTCATTCGTTCTTCCATCTAGGCTTTAAAAAAATGATGCAAGATAATATATATTTAAATATCAATAATTTTAAAGACAAAAATACAATAACATGAAGAAAATGGAAAAATCTGTCCCAGTGCCTCTTCAGGCTATGACTTTAAATCTGCCCAGGCCCTTTCCTGGCTCATTGAGTTCATCAAGGTCAAGTTAGCTGGCCTCTCAGAACCTCAGTGACCCCGAGTGTAACCCCAGCTTCCTGCAGTCGGGAAGACTGTATGAGCAGGCACAGTAACAGAGGATGAAGGTGTTCACACCATCACTGCTGGCAGGAATCACGCTTTTTCACTATCACTGTTGTGAACTTTTGTGCAGGGTGCAAAGGAGAGCCTGGGCTGGATGGCAGGAGGGGCGAGGATGGCATCCCCGGGTCACCCGGGCCTCCTGGACACAAAGGTGACAGTGGAGAGTCCGGCTGCCCCGGAGCACCAGGTAAAGAGCTTGTGTCTCTCTGCTTTTTGTTTCTGGCATTAGAACAGACCAGGCCTCAGACACCGAGGCTCTGCTGGGTGACACAGCTTTGCCAGCCTGCTGATCTAAAAGCAGCTACCTCAGGTCCCAGCTCAGCAAGCATCAGGGAGACAAAAACACTGGGAAAGAGCAGGATACGTCTTCCTTGTGTTCATGGATGCCGAACCATCATGAAACTTGTCCTGGTCCTGTGTCTCTCAGTGTTCCCCAGATCACTCCACATCACTGCAAGGGGCTTGGACAACTTTTCAAGGCCCTCTTTGAAGGGTCCTGCTGCTTGGCTTAAGAACTGGTCATCCTTGAGGGTCTCAGGGATGGCTCTCAGCCTCAGCAGCTGGCTGAAGTGCTCGGCTTCTGGCTTTCTGAATTTTCTTCATTTCATGAAGCCAAGCATGCATGTATATAGAATACCCGGCTCTTCAAGGAAAAATCAGGAGGCAAAGGGAGAAGACTGAGTTTTCAGAATAGAAATTTGAAGTATTACTCAGGCCGGGGCTATAGCTTGGGGGCAGAGTACTTGCCTAGCATGTGCAAGACCCTGGATTCAATCACCAGCACATCCAAAATATGAAGGAAGGAAGTGGGGGAGGGCGAGGATGGGGGAGGAGAGGGAGGGCAGGGAGCACGTTAGGCAGAAGGGCCGGAAGACACAGTGGCATCTTCAGAGAGTACCTGGCAAGGCAGATGAGTTCAGCTCCAGGTTGACAACGAGCAGCAGTGAGTGAAGAGGGCCAGGTGGGGTCTGCAGCAGGAAGGAGCTTGGGTGTTTACAAGATGCGGCCAGCGCACTGCTGGGAGCCCAGCCCCCCCCCCCCCCCCCCCCCGGGAGACTGAGGTGAGAAGATGGAAAGTTCAAGCCGGGCACTTAGTGGCTTATCAAGACCCGATCTCAAAATAAAAAGGGTGAGAGACTCGATCTCAAAATAAAACGGGTGAGAGCTGTGGATATAGCTCAGTGCAAAGGCCCTGGACACACACACACACACACACACACACACACCACAGGCCTGTTGTTCTCTGCACTCTTTTTCACAAGTCCAAGTTTTATACAACTGTTCACTTCTCACCTGCCAACAAGAATCTGACTCCAGGTCTTCCTCCTTTTCCTGTCCCTCATAAAAAGGCAGTGCGTGTGGGTACCAAACCCTCACCTGCTCAGGATGGAGCCTGGAATGAGAGCTGGCAGGAGCAGGAAGGAGTGGCTTTGAGGAGTACCTGCCGCCAGCTCTTTTCTTGCCAGTATTTTTGTCACTTCATTTCCCTTTCTGCTGTGCTTGCCGTCATCCTCAAGTGAAATGCACGCCTGCAGAGGGCCAGGGTTTTCCTACTAACGTGGCTCGTGTGCCTAGAAGTTACTTGATCAAACACAATCCCCCCTCCAGGAATCCCTGCAGATGCCAGAATTCCAGGTGCTCGAGGCTCTGCTAGAAAAGGGCACACTATTTACGTGTGCACAGCTTCCTGTGTACATAGAATAACCTCTGAGCTACTTGTGGCCCCTAACGTAAGTGCTTGGTAAATGTATTGTTAGGTACTAATGCAGGGGTGGGCGGAGTCTGTTCATTATGGATGCAAGTTTTAAGAGTGTTTTCCATCTACTGCTAGTTGTAAAACGGGTGGACCCAGGAGCCAGCTTTCGTTGGAGGGGCTGCAGCTGCTTCCCTCTGTCCCCTCAGTGCTTTGTGCGGCCCGACAGAGGCACGGGGAGTGGCTGTTGAACGGTCTCCCTCATCTGTGTTTCTTTCTTTCTTTATTCCTTCAGGTCCTCCTGGTCCAACTGGTGACCCTGGCCCCAAAGGACACGGGCTTGGCTACCTCAGTGGCTTCCTCCTGGTGGTCCACAGCCAGACAGATGAGGAGCCTGCCTGCCCCACGGGGATGCCCCGGCTCTGGAGTGGGTACAGCCTGCTCTACCTGGAAGGGCAGGAGAAAGCGCACAACCAAGACCTTGGTAGGGCCCCACCCCATGCTCCCACCATGAAGAGTAAACCTTGGGTGAAGTGTGCAGACCCCTGGCTTCTAAAAGGAGCACCAGTCTTTATGAGATTGCTATTACTTTGATGATGCTAATTTACAGCTAAATTTTTTAAATCTTTGACCTAGGAGATGCCATGTTCTGGATATGGTTATTATCTGACTACTTACTGCTTGCTTTTTAAAAAAATTTCTATGAAGTATTGATTTACGTATTTATGTATGTATTTATTTTTGGTACTGGGGATTTAACTCACAGTCTATCAAGTATTTTTAAAAATAAATCTTAGGAATTCTAGCTCATAACTCTTTATCTATACAATGACAACAAAAAAATCAACCATGACTTTAAATGTTTAACATGCATTATATACAAGTAGCAATCAGTTATTGCTTGCTATTAAAAAGGATTCCCTGTAATCCCACCACTCTGGGAGGTTGAGGCTGGAGGATTCCAAGTTAAAAGTCCAACCTAAGTAACTTAACTACTTAGCAGAGACCCTGTCTCAAAACATAAAAACAAAGGACTGGAGATATAGCTCAGGGTGAAGACTAAAATAGTAAATAATAAAACTCACCTTTATTTATAACCATAAAATGCAATTTTCTCTTCCCCATGTGACTTCTTTTGCGGGATGTGGAGGGTTCCAGAGTGGGGCCTGGCAGCTCCTGATGGTTGTGCTGAGTGCTGACTCCCTGCCCTTCCCCCGTTTGTTTTTAATGTACATGACTGTTTGGGGGGGTCACTCCTAGGTGTTTGCTTTTTCTTCCTTTTTCTTTTTTGAAGTACTGGGGATTGGATTTAGCACCTTTGCCCTGGGCTGCACCCCAGCCTCATTTATTTATTCATTTGTTTTCTCACTTTTTGAGATAGGACGTCACACATCGCAGCTTCCCGGACTGGGCTGGAGCTTGCCATCCTCCTTCCTGGCGGTGGGTGGGTGGGTGGGGGGGAGGCTGAGCCAGCAGGTGTGCCCCCTATGCCCGGCTTCCTTGTCTGCTTTCAGCAGGAGACTTACAAGCTGCAGGGAGCAGTATCCAGGCAAGGATCTCAGTGCCAGGCACTGGCAAACTTTCCCGGACAGCGGTGCTGAGGGAGGAGGGTGCAGGATGGAGACAGCCACAGGTGTGATGATGAGTCCTGGCACGCTGCCCTCGCAGGGCTGTGGCCCAGCGGTTAGGAAGGGGTGCTCAGGTTCAGGGCTGGGAGCGGCAGCTGCTCATGTCACTATCTTTATTTTTCCTTTGGCCGTGTTTGTTTCCCATCACAGGGGTCTCCTTTCTCTGAACACAGGACAGGCGAATATCTTGGACCTGTCTGCTCTGCTCCTCTGCCTTCTGGGCACGGGCTGACAGCGTCAGTTTCATTCCTGCCTGGCCTCTGTGCTGCCGGTCTTCTTTCTGCCCTGGTCTAACCAGAGCCCACCCCAAACCCTAGAGAATCTAAGCCCCTGAGCAAGATTGGCCAAGGCCCACGGTCTCTGGTCTGATTTATCTCTGAGCAGAGCAGACCCACACTTGAGGCCACTGACCCCCACACTCCTGAGCCCTGCGAGGTGCCTCTGCCACTCCAAGGAGGCAGAGGAGGAGGAGGCTGCGCGAGTTGTCACGCCATGCTGGCAGCTGACTCTGTCCTTTGCTCATTCACATCTTGGGTAAAGCAGCTCCTCCCAGCCAGGCTTCTGGGGGTCCAAAACTCCCCACTGCTTCTCATTCGGTGGAATCCCTGCTGTACTTTCACATCTGCTCACCTTTCTGTCCCGGATCCTGAGTTCCGTGAGGACAGACGCCCGTTGCTGTCACTGCAGGCCCTGGGACTGCTGAGGGAGGGACGGATGGATCAGGGCTGAGCTCGCAGGACCCAGGAGGCAGCTTGCACAGGACAGAGAGGGTGTGTATGGACGCCAGGTTTGGGAAAGGCTGCTCAGTCGCCACCACTGCCTCTTTCCTCCAGGTCTGGCGGGGTCTTGCCTTCCTGTGTTCAGCACTCTGCCCTTTGCCTACTGCAACATCCACCAAGTGTGCCACTATGCCCGGAGGAATGACAAATCCTACTGGCTGGCCAGCGCTGCCCCGCTGCCCGCGATGCCGCTGTCCGAGGAGGAGATCCGGCCCTATGTCAGCCGCTGCGCCGTGTGTGAGGCCCCTGCGCAGGCGGTGGCGGTGCACAGCCAGGACCGGTCCATCCCTCCGTGTCCCGCGGCCTGGAGGGGCCTCTGGATCGGGTACTCGTTCCTGATGGTGAGTGCAGGACCCCTCGGTGTGGCTCACTTCCGGTTCCTAGTGCCCGCTTTGCCCCCTGGTCCGTACCATGCATCCTCTGTGCAGACAACAGTAGGGCATTAGGTCCCAAAACCCACTGCAAACCATAGTCTGTTGAAACACGGGTCATTGTTATTCTTTATCATGGAACTTCGGGTTTTGTTTTTTTTTTTTAAGCACACTTTGGTAGAATTTACAGGCAGAATTGGCCTCAGCACAATTAGTTCCACTTTGTGTGTGCACCCCACACAGCTTCCTGCGCCTTCTTTGCAGATTGCATTTGGTCTTGATGGCATCCTTTAAGGAAAAATGTTCAAAGCAGGCCTAGACCTGGGCTGCTGTGCGTTTCTGGGCCCTAATTCTGTCTTCTTGTCTGGGTAGCACACAGGCGCTGGGGCCCAAGGAGGAGGGCAGGCCCTGACGTCACCTGGTAGCTGCCTCCAGGACTTCCGAGCAGCACCCTTCCTGGAATGCCAAGGCCGACAGGGAACCTGTCACTTTTTTGCAAATGAGTACAGCTTCTGGCTGACCACGGTGAAATCAGACACACAGTTTTCCTCTGGGCCATCACCAGACATCTTAAAAGATGGCCACGCCCAGCGCCAGAAAATCAGCAGGTGCCAGGTCTGCGTGAAGCACAGCTAGGAAAGGCCACATTCGACATGACATTCGCTGCCTCCCGTGAAGCAAAACTTCCCAGGGAGCCAAGACTGCTGGCTGTGCTGACAAACTCACCGGTGCTCTTCCAGACCATCCTCCCAGCCCGCCGTTTGGTGCTCAGTGTTTATTCCCATTGGTCCCCACTTCCTCCCTCTGTCCTCTGCAGATTGAGCAAATGCTACGTGTGGGTTTGTTAGACCCCCGATCTCAGTGAAATCCACATACCCTTACTTTATTGAGGATGATGGAAAAAATAGGCTTTATTTGAAAACATGCTAATTCTCAGGAAAGCAAGGAGATGAAAAAGGCCAGATTACAAATTACATTACAGAAAGCTTCATTCATTGGCTAATAGCATCTCAAACAATTGAAGTCAATTACCATACAGTGGGGTTCTGGACAGATTTTATAGGAAAAAAGTAAATAGGCCAACAAATGAAACTAGAAAGTAGAGATTTTCAACATTTCAAAATGATTTTCACTGTAATCTATTTTTTTCATGCACTTTAAACAATTGTAAAACTGTGACCCAAAGAGATTAAAAAAAAAAAATGCACAGTGCCAGCATTAACAGCTCATTTCAAAGCACAATGAATCAGGATGCCAAGAAAGCCCATTGTCGCTGTATTCTGGAGCTGTGACATTAGCATAAGCACATCACAGATGAATATAAAACATCCTGTTCTCTTCTGCATTTTTTCAGAGAATAGAAATGCCCACTTTGGCAGCCCTTTTGAAAAGTAGCAATTATGGAAGAAAATATATTCAATAAGAGATTAGGACCCTAAATGCTATTAATGAATATTAAGGTAGTGATTCACAGAAATTGACTCTCTATGGCAGTGAATTTCTACACAGATCGCTTTTTCTGGGACCTGCATGTCCTTGGGAGTAAGGAGGCTGAAGCCATGTGGGCCCCCTTCACATGTCCCTGGAGCTTCCTTGCACCCTATAGTGGACGCCTTTCCCCCACATGCACAACTGTTGAGCACAGAGGGGCGTGAGAGCTACTGTTATGCACTAGAGAGAAAGTTACGGCTGCTTAATTAAACAGATAAGAAGATTCATTTCAGTCGGGTCATCTCCCCCACCACAAGGAAGCCCTGGGCTATCTTTTTTTTTCCTGTTTGTTTCTTGGTACCAGGAATTGAACTCACAACTTCACACTTGCCAGGCAGGTGCTTACCCCACTGAGCTAAACCCCCAGCCCTCCTTGGGCCATCTTTAAAAGCATACAGGAGTTTTATGTTCTTCTGATGAGTTTACATAGGAGCACCTCATTTTGGCAATTTAAATAAACTTTCTTACACCTTACCTTAGCACTGAACCAAGGCCGCTGCTACTGACATTGGCATTAGTTGTTCCTATAAAACTCTAGAAGGTGTGTCAATCTCTAATGAGTACATTGTTCGAATCACAAAAGACCAGTTTTTTATTTTGCCAAGAATCCAGTGATCTAATCTTATATATCAAAAGGTTGGTTAGAATGGTTTTAGGACATTCAACCTCCTCCTCTTACAGAAAATATCATTTTAGAGGAAACCAAAGAAATTACTCATGAAAATGACATTCATTTTAGTACTTAGTTTTAGTGCACTTAAAAATAATTGAGAGAAACTCAATTATAATTTTATTTATAAGAATTGTTTTTCTTGTTCAACTTTGATAACTAATGAGATCTTCTGTGCAGCATACATTTCAAATGAGTTTTGCTATGAGCTGCTCATGGTCATTTATTTTAAGAGTATTTTCTCATTTAAAAAGTTTGTGTAAGACGAAATATTTTCTTGATGCAGCAGAATATTTTCTAATGCACTGACCTATTTGAGTTTTTTAGGCCAACCTGTTCAATGATTTTTGAGTGCCTGGAATTTAACCCAGTTTCTACCATATTTGTAATTATTCTTATGTTTCTAAAACCTTTGTCTAGTACCAAAACTCAAGGCTTCTAACTGTCTATCATGAACAAATATGAGAACATTGTCTGGAAGAGGTAGGGATGATCAGTGGAATATCAGAAATGTATCTTCCTCGCTAGTTTATTTTGGGCCCGTGGTATTAGAATATTATCTTAATATGCTTTATCAGGAAGGTTTTTTTTTTTTTTAAATCTTTTTATTGGTACTGGGGATCGAACTTGTGACCGCCTGCTTACAAGGCAGGTGCTTATGCCACTGAGCTAAATCCCCAGCCCCAGGAAGTTTTTTTTTTGTTTTTTGTTTTTTTTTTAAATAGCCTGAATTAAGTGGAAATTTACTCTGTGGTGAATCCAGAAATACTGGTAGCATAGGAGTCCTCTCTAAATATGGTTTGAATGCTGCTTTTCCGCTTTGAAAAAGTATTTTAAATGGTCAAAGTGGGCCCATGATAGGGAAAAGAACTTCCTGTTATAGATTCTTTACTTGGATATGTAGCAATGTGCTTTAAAATACATTTGCTCTGTTAAAACCATGAACAAGGCTTTGCAGGTGTTTTCCTAATCCATTACCAGTGATGACCTCTGTCAAATTTCCCAAGGACTCTCCCTCCTCTTGGGTTGAATGCACCTAGATTGCCAAACTGGGGTTTCCGAGGCCCATGCTACAGGACCGGCATGTTCCTGACTGTTATTTGTGGTGTGTGGAACACCACCCATCTAAGGGGCCCCCATGCTGTGCTCTTGTGCCCCCCAGACTGTACCTAGAGTCGCTGCTGCTCGTGGTCCACTGCTTCCTCTCAGCCTTCTTGCATCAGTGGAGCTGACATCGCCTGTCCACCCAGCCTCTTGTATACTACCGGCACCTCCGGATTAGCTCCTTCAGTTTCCAATTCCAGCTGTCATGCAAGTTTCATTCAAACTTGAGTTTCTCACCTTCCAGACAGTCTTTCAATGGCTGTACTGCCCACAAAGTCCAGACCTCCTATGCGGCAAGGGCAGTGTGAACTGGCCAGGGCTCATGTCTGCGACCATCGCTGGCCACGATGAACTGAGTGGAGTTCTGCAAATGCTTGCAGTGTCCCTCGGCCTTTGCTCTTTTCCCCAGGGACGTCCTCCCTCAGGTCCCTTGACTTGGCAGACAGGTACTTCCCTTTACACTGATTGACATGCAAGCATGTGAATCCCCTCGAGGACACACACCCCTTTCTGCTGCTTCCAGTACAGTTAATGGGACTGTTTCTCTCATTCCCATTATTTCTCTAAAGTCTCAGCACACTTCTTTCATTCCCTGGCCAAAGTGAAAGTCCCTCAAGGGCAGGGACCATGGTTTACTCGTCCCTGTGTGCCCACTACTAGACAGAGCTGGACACAATATTAACACTTAGTTCTTTTATTCAGTGACAATTCCGTAGGCGTTAGACATTAAACTCAATAGAAGGAAGGTCTCATGGGAAAATGATGACCAGAAAACACCATTCCTTCCTTCAGAACATCAGGATGTCCAACAGGACCTGCACACCCAGGCTCCTGTTACAAAGCCACTGGACAAGCTCATCTCCCCCACCTCCAAGACAAATTATGTTTCTAGAAACTGAAATTTCAGAAATGAGATTTGAGAGGTTTGACTAAGAAGACTCCTCATTAAAATGCAACTTGACAACTCACATTGTCATCTACTTTGTCTCAGGATTTAAGAGCTTCTTAGTATAAAACTGCGACAAAGGCTGTACACATGTTACTGGTGCTTTGAAAAACACTCAACAGAATGGTCCATGAAACTGGATCTCATTGAAGATTTTATTTTGAGCCTCTTTTGGATTACTATAAAGCAAATCTTTTTCTGTTCCAGTAAGTATATTCGTGTTACATCAGCTCACTGGGATAATTTCAGAAATGTAACCTCTATTTGGTATGGCTGCAAAATGATAGAAAATGAACATACTGGTTAGTTGAATCCAGGTTTACTGGTTCAGCCACTTTTCAGCTGTTACCTTGAATGAGTTCTGCCAACTTGCTGAATTTACTTCCCTCATTTATAAGATAAAATACTACTCTTGTGTTGATAATTAAGTTAGACTCACTGTCTAGCACATAATAGTCACCATGCATTGATTATGGTCATATCTTCTATGTAAAATAAATGATTTAATATGAAAAATACTGCTTGGGCTCTGTACACAGAATTAGATTATATATATATATATCTGATTAGAATTATTTATAACTGCTTAGTTTGTAACATCTTTGGGAATGCTGTTTTATTTTATTTTTGAATGTTACTGTACCACAAAAAACCCCCACAATTTCCTGCAGGGACATTATCAGTAAGTTCTTTAAGTAACAAACAACTGACATTAAAAATCAGTACTCTGCAATTGTCACTGTTATCATCTTCCAGAAACTCTGCATAATGCATTTTAAACCACCAAAGCTGGCTGTCACATCCATGTGAAATGCTTGAATTTATGGTGCTTAAATATTTAATGATTCCTTCATGGGAAAGCATGTGAAACATGTCCAATAAATAGCATCCCTTTTTCTAACCAAAAGTTAAAAGACTTTGAACATGTAACTTTTGCAGGATGCTTGGTTTCCCATTGAACGTTAAACCTTTGCTGTATTATGATTTATAGTATGATTCATTATATATAAAATTCTACAATGACTTCCCCCAAACAACTGTGTTTTGTTTTCTTTTGTGCCAAAGTGAATTAATTTCTTTTTCTTTTTTATTTCTTTCTTTTCTTTCCTTCCTTCCTTCCTTTCCCTGCTTTGTCACGTGGCCTATACCTGGAGCTGCCTTAGCAGGGAAAATGTGTTCCATGTGGCCTGTGAATTGCAGACGGGAAGAGCATAGACTGGGAAGGATGGAATTCCAAGCTCTGGAAGCACAGTTGTGCAGACAGTGATGTAGGGGGGACCAGGCCTCAGGGCACCAGGCTACATTAGCCACCAGTCAGTATATGGCTCAAACACCACTGGTTAGTTACATGGAAGGACTGAAGGTGTGAAAGTCAACGGTAAAATGCAAAATGTAAGACATTGTTATTTAGCTCCTGCACTGGTGGGTATGCAGACACTCAATAACTGTTTTGTGTTTTGGGGTGCCCTGCTAGGCTTCTGCCCCTAGGCACCCAAGCAGTCACCATCCAGGGAGCTGCTACGAGGCAGAGAATAACAGCGTGGAGGCCCTCTTGCCCCTAGGAGGTGCAGCCGCTACTGCACCAGCTAGCTGGGCTCTTTTCATCTCTCACTGGCCGGAAACATTACTTCTTGTAGCCTCTGTGACTATGGATTAAGCATTTATGATTTTATCAGCCAGAGGAAATTATCAACAAATAACTACTATTATCTATGTTTGGAAAAAGTAGAGAGAAATCTTTAAGAAGAGTAGTAAAATGTTCTTTTGGTCCCAAAACCGTCTGCCTTACAGTGCACACAATGAATGGTGCAGATTTACTTGCACACAGTGGCATGTGAGAACCACTGGGTGTGCCACTGGCTGGCGGCGGAAGTGAGCAGCTCTGTATTTCAACCCTCAGGTTTTCATTGGTTCCACATGAAGCGCTGTTCAAGGTACTGTCAGGAGGGAAAGGAACACGGTCACGGTCCAGGTGAAATATACAACTGAGACAGGGAGACGGTCTCTCTTTCCATGAGACCCACAGGGCGCAGCAGGTCTGATGTTCCAGGGTCAGTCAGGGCTGTGGTCAGGGCAAGGGAGAGAAAAGGGCTGTTCCAGGTACAAGGCCAGTGTGAAAAGGCCTTGCCATCAGGAGCGCTCCCAGCCAGGCAGGGGAGCCGCTGAGCAGCTCTGCCTCGTGTACACGCGCAGAGGGCCAAAGGCCATGGGGGCCCCACTGCGGAGGCTCAGGACTCTGACCTTTATCCTTGGGTGATAGACACCCAGTAGAAGGTATCTGAAATGATGAGTGACACTGCACAAGGATTTTGGACGCTGACCCTGGCAATGTTATGCAGAATTGAGTGAAGCATGTTTTAAGTGCTGAGCACAGAACAGAGACTTAAAGGTCTTTCGGAGTCTGTGATTTTACATGGGAGAGAGAAAGTCAGAAAGAGCAAGAGCGAGTGAGAGAATGAATTAGGAAGTGACTGCACTGCTCTGTGGAAAGAGAAAGGGAGAAACGATTCATTTTAAATGACTTTCTGGTATCAGGGACTGAATCCAAGGCCTTGTGCCTGACAGCAATTCCCTACCTTTATTCTTTGAGACAGTGTCTCACTGAGCTGCTTGAGCCTGGGGTCACCACATTCAGCTGCATCATGAGGCTCTAAAGGGCATCCAGGCCGCACTGCCACCCCTTCCCTTCCCTAACTAGGGGCCACTGTGGGGGTCGTCGCACTCCTGGAGCAGAAAGCAGAATTTGCACCAAATGGACACACTGTCGCCAACTACTGAATCTGCCTGTTTGCTGTGTAGTTGGAGCTTTAGGAGCAGGCCTTTAAAGAGGCCCAAACTTATTAAATACAACTTGGAACCACGGGCTGTACATGCAGGGTGAGAAGAGCAAGCGACTGCAGCTACTCCTGCTCTGAGACTCTGAAGAGATCCGGACTAAGACTTTCTTAAACTGACTGGCCACACTCAACTCTGCAAACGGTGCATAGCAGACAATCCAGATATGACTGCTACACAAAGAAAACGAATTAAAAATCAGCTCTCAGCGCTTATTCCTATCAGACATAATTAGTCTAGCGCATTTGCTTTTGTCTGCTTTCCTTGAGTCAGTTTTAGTTCATTGGCAGAGTGTGGAGATTCCTTGCTGGAGGGGGTGAAAGGACACTGAACACAATAAGCAGGGGTTACAGGCAAGCCCAGTGACTGAGCTAAATAATTTTAAGCATTTCCAGAATATCTTAATTGTTGTATAAAAATAACTGATTTATAACTAAAATGACTTCTTTTAAGGATGTGGCGATATTCCCCTCCATGAATAAGGCATGCCTATATTACAGTGTAGCATTCAAAAGTTGATTCCAGTGTCTCGGTATTTGGTCACACAAAAAAAGGAGGTACCACTACTGGACTCACACACACACACACACACACACACACACACACACGCATAAAAAAAACACATCTATGTATTAGTGATTTGACTTTTAATGCAACTGAAAAAACATTCTGGTGGAAAACTAGTATTTAATGAGTCCTGACCACAAGTCTTCAGGTGGTAAAGCGGGGAGACAGGAGCAGTATGAGAAGATAAATGAGGTCACCCACAGCCCTCACTCCCATGCCTTCTAGGCACGTCTTGGTGTAGTTACACATTAATGATAATGATAACATTATAGCATTTCCATGTGCTAGGAAAAGAAAGTGGTAAGAAAGTGGTACTTCTGACTGAGGAAATGGCAGTCAAATGTATAGTTTGAGGGAGGGGCTTGAAATATTTGGGCTTGGACATGTAAAATACGCTTAAAGCGAGCAAACTCACAAGTACAACTCATATTACCAATAATTTAGCTTTGTATCAATTATGAATGAATCCAGGGAGCTCAGGGATCACTATGGCAGCCAGTGGGTCAGGGTATCCCCAACTCTGCTGGTTTTCTTACCTTATTTATAAGAAAATCAAAGCCTTCCCCATATACATGCAGATTAGGAACATAACTGGACACATAACTGCAAGTCATTACACTTCAAATCTGTCAAATGCATAAAAGAAAACCTGCGAAGGAGGTACCTCCACACTGTTAAACCTGGGTACCTTTCGCCGATAGGAATACAGGTAATTTTAAAATTTCGTATGTATTTATTTGTATTTTTGTTTATATTGTGAATTTTCTTAATGGATATAGAATACTTATTTTTAAATCTGTTTCACTGGTTATTTCTTGATTTTTTATACAAATCTGTTTTCCTGACTTCAAAAGTAATACATACCCACATTTTTAAAAAACAGCTTACAAAACTGTAAAAAAGTCTCACGTACTCTACCCCGAGAGATGGCCTCTGTTAACGTCTGGGGTATTTCCTTCCAGACTCTTGCTTCACACAGGCAGAAAGGATATACCTCACTTTCACAGTCACAAAGCTACATATAAGTGACAGATGAATCGAAAGAGAAAGGTCATTTTCTGCCTCTTTGTCTCTTAAGAAGAAGTATCTCCATAACAGTGAGACATTAGTGATGTTTTGGCTCTGTCCCTTTATTCCTGAAACACAAGCACCAGGAAATGCCCCAGATGACTCAGACAGATAATCTGTGTATTGTAACACTGCAGGGCCCCAGGGCATGTTGCGGACCCTTGTGCAGGACAGACAGCTGTGACAGTGGTCAGTTAAAAGGCACTTTAGGAGGGGAAAACATACTTCTTGCAAGGAGGATTTCTGGCCACCGGTCTTTGCTCTGCTGTGCATGTGGTGCCTGCTGCTGCCCTGGTAAATGACACGCTCCACCATCCAGAAATCTCATGGCCTCTGCAGGGGCAACTGCTGCACCCAACTGCTGGTGTCACCTGCTGGCTAATGCAGTACGTTGGCCTCTTCCCCACCTTGGGTCTTTCTTGTGCCTCGGCAGTAAAGTGTTCTCTGGGCGAAGTAAGGTGAGAGCAAGCAAGTACACTGTGTGAGGAGCCGGATGCCTGGGTGGAGAACAGAACACACACTGGGAAAGCAGCCGTGGTGTCTTCCCGAGCAGTCCCATGGCAATGTGCCAGGGGGACTCGGGCACGGGGCCTCCCCTCCTGCCAAGCCAGGCATCCAGTGCTCTGGGCTCCATGAGGGTCTGAACTCGCTAACCCTAACCCCCATCGTGAAAGTCTCGGTCTTCAAAATGAAAACAAGGTGCAGGCACCCGAGTGGGAGGCAGTAAAGCAGTGTGGGAACTGGTCCCGACCTGAGGAAGTGGTCTTCCATTTGGGATGCAGAATCAGGCCGAGACTGGCCACACCCAGAAAGCTGTGAGCTGCTTTCAACAAACCTGGCACTCGAGTCTGGATTCCCAGGGCCCACAGCGTGAGGGTCCAGCACAGATATGCACAGTAGGGGACAGGAACGGGGTGCTCTGCTTTTGTTTAAAGCCAATTAGAGGCTTGAGGAGTGAACCCCATGGGCAACCATGACACAAACTGGACCGTGCCTTCCCGGGAGGCCGTGCCACCTCACTGGCCATCAAGTTCTTAAAGCTGCTGTCTCCTCATGTCTTCCGGCGAGAGATGAAACCCGTAGGGCGGTGGGCTATTTCTGGTATTTCCTGTGGGGAGAAGCAAAAGGAAAGTCAAACCCTCCCTATCGGTGGTTTTGACATCTACAAGGCACTGTGTAATCCTAGGATTTCAAGAGCAGAGGGGGGAAAAGCAATCACTTCGATGTCATCTGCATTTTAACATGAAAAGAGTAAATAATAAACATATTTCTACTTCAGCTGTCAATTCTAAATTTTAGTATCAAGAAAATACTTCTAGTGTGGTTCTGTCTATGAACTTAATTTGACTCAGGACTTAACTGGATTTGCTGTTCCTTGATAATTCTTCCTTCCTCCATGCTCCATCATTTGCATCGTTTAATCTTCTGTAATGTCTCAGGGGCTCAGGGTTCTAACCTGCTGCCCCAGCCCCACACCAGCATCACACCTGCGTTGCACCGACCGTGGTTCAGGTCAGGCCAGGGGCAGCGCGGGCCACTGCGGCAGGCGGGGGCTGTACCCAGGCCT